CACATCCCTAAAATACATTTAACGCAACAAAAGGGTTTGTAAGTCGTAAAAGCTAGCAGCAGAACTTCCAAACCACTCAAGAAAATCCCATTCCAGAATAAACTCACTAATTTGAGGTGGGATTCATTCTACTTGAATTAGCCATTTAAAGGTTAGTTGGCCAAGGCTGAGCTAGTCACTGTGGGATCCCCAGCATCAGTGGAAAGCAATGCACACCTCCCAAGAGGCATGATGAATCACAGAAACACAGTGATGCTTTTTTCCAGAGCACCCTTCCAACATTGTGCACTTCAGGAACTTCTGAGCCAGCATTTACAGCTTTGTGTTAAAACCTGTCAAGGGCTCCACTGCAGAATTCTTTGCTCTGTTAAAACTGACCACCTTCACCTATGCTGTCTTCCCTAGCTTTCAACATGCTATTTACCCTCAGTAAGACCTTTCTTCTGATCCCATAATGCTTACTTCTTTGAGAACTTGTTGGGGTTTTTTTTGCAAAGCCATGTGGTCAATCTCAACCCTTGTCCACACTAATTGATTTTTGCAAGGACATCCATGCAACTTCCAAGGCATGACTTCTCTCCAAAAGCTAAGACAACTCTTCCACTGTATATTTATTCAGGTTTCTACTAATATCTCATTTACGATTGCTTCTATCATTTTTCCAAGTCTAAACTCATCAGCAGTTTCCATGAGCTTACCAATACCTTTTAATAAAAAGCATCCATTATATATTAGACACTTTTTAATCCTCTCATGCTCACATGAGACAAGAGGACTCCAGATAGCAGCTTAGCTACTTCAGCCTTTGGTGAAGCCTGCCTACTCCCTTTACCTTCTTTCATTGTTTTGGTCTATAAAGCTTCAAATCAGTGTTGCTGAAAGTCACATCCCCTCTTCTGATCAGCAAACTTTGAGTTTCCCAATATTTTGGTATCTATAAGCCTATTTTTCTCATCCTCAGTTTGAACTGACTTGTGTCCTGTCCTATGCTTTGATCATTGGCTTTTAAATATAGAGATATTTCTTTATCATATGAACTCTGTGCCTTTAAAAATAGCCCAGACACTAAAAACTCTTCCATAGATCATTAGGTCCCCATTATTCTGATTAAAGAAGAGAAAGATCCTAGAGGTCTTTTCCAACTTAAATTATTCTATGATTCCATGACTTGGAAGAGTCATAGAATCAAGCCTCAAAAAGACAAAAAAAAATTAATGGTGTTGGATATTTTTCAAAATGTTGTAAAGATCATCATGACCCCCACAAAAAGCTCCACATCAGCTTTCCCTGTCAGAACAGAACTATTACCACTCAGTCTCCTCCTCCCAGAGGAATAAAAATTATTGGAGATGCTGACAGGGCCTGATTTATGGGTTTGGGTTCTTACTCATACTCAATCATCCAAGTTTTAAGAACACATCTATTAACACTCTCATACTTACTCAGCCAGAATTCCAGCTAAGTTACACAATTCACCTTTATCATGCTTTCTTCAACCTTCAAATACAAAAGCACAGTTAGAGCACCCCAAGCTGCAATTCAGACTATTTGAAAAATTTCAGTTCAGAAGAACTACTTAACCATGAAAAAATAACCCCCAAGCCTCCTTTAGCTTCAGGTCAGATACCACTTAATTTGCAACAGCCAAACTCTGAACAAGTCTTAACAGAAGGACTTAAAAATACCTCAACACTATCAGCCAGTAGCAGCATTTTCATGCAAGTTATGTAGAATTTAAGGTGCTGCTTCATCCACTATTTCTGAAAAGCTCCCTTTTCCTCTGCAATGTTCCTCTTTCTGAGAAATAGAAATTCTTTTTTATACAGAGATGAGTAACCTACCTGCATTTAACCTACCAACACTACTGGAAAAAAAAGCAAGAAACCAAGCCAACCATCTCTCCCACCTCCATGTCTGCAAACAGGTTATTCAAATTCAGCAGAAAGAACTATTAGGGAAGCCCATTTTATTTGTTCTATAAAATTCCACTCACCTTACACGAGGATATAAACCTCCAAACATCATCACTCCCTTCTATAGCCCACAGTCAGAGCAAACATCTAGCTAAATGCCTCTGGTCTAGGATGAGCTCGGGTGATACCACACAACCTAAGAACTGGAAACACCTGGAAGCAGTTAGGGCAGCTGTACTGAGATGCAGCAAATGAGGCAATGCTGATTTTCCATCCCTGTGGTTATTTACAAAATGTTAATTTTGTATCTTCTTTACACATAGAAACATATCTAGTGCTACAGCCCCTCTCTCGGTGCTGACAGTCCTGTTGGTCCTACGGCAGACATCAGCAGCTCCAAGTTCAAATTCTGCTGCTGACTATGGTATGGCATAGCTGCTTGCATCAGAGTTTATTTTTAAGAAATACTTTAATTTTTAAATTAAGATTGCATATAACCTCATCCCTATGCTTTTGTGAAGAGATGTGCTGGAGGCAAAGCCTGGATTACTGTCATCTATTACATTAACCCGTAAGTAAGAGGCTAACAATAAACTGTAAACAAAGCTGAGGATGCCTAGGCCAGGAATCTAATAGTGAATCATCTGCAGATTTCAGAAAATTCTGTGGACACTTTCCCAGTTCGAAGGCAGTAAAACAGAAAGGCAGAAAGCTGAATATGACTGAAAAAGTACAAGCCTAGAACTGAGCCAGCTTTTCCAAGTGCTAAATATACATTATTCACTTAACAATATCATTCTCATAGCCATAGGCTTTCCAACCCTGCTTCTCTCCCCATCACCTCTTCTTCACTGTGCAGGAGAATCACAGAGTATACACAGAGTCTAGGCCACACTAAATTGTCTTCTACTTATGGTCATCCAACAGGTTGGGTGAATTTATGATCAACTCCTGTTGTTAAAAGGAAGGTAATAAAAGGGAGAAAATGCATCTCTGATGACAAGGTTACGTGGAAACTTATGCCACTGAATAAGGTGGGGATGTGGTTGTGGGACTGGTCCTCCCTCTCTCATTTATGCTGGTACCAAAAAAGGAAAGGCTTTTTAAATATAGGAAGATGGAAATCGAATACCACTTCTTTCTTTACAAAATCAGTTCACTAAAACTGAGCTACCTATCACTTATTGGTAAGTGCACAATATGCCTTTTTCATGACATTCTGCTAATTCATCCTTGTACAGAGCATCCAGTGTTTATTTTCAGACTTTTGTCAGTATAATCTTTGTAACACAGGGAACAGAATTTTGGAAAGTCTCTTAGTTTTGGGAGTTCTTAGTGTCAAACTAAAGCAGTTAAATAATTTTTGGAAGAAGTTAATTAAGTAAGATATAACATCTGGAGACAGATTTAGGGTTTCAACAGATTTCCTAATCCTATTTAATTTACTATTAATTGGATTTCCAATAATGGATGATTTTCTCCATACAATAAATGAACTTCTCCACTTTTCCAGTTCCATCCTCCCCTGTTTTGCAATCACCAACAAGCCACAGTAATCTACCTCATCCTTAGGTTCTTTTAGCTGGCATTGGATTTCTCAATGGCTGGACACAGCTCTAATATTTTTGTAAAGTTACAATGTAGCAGTACAAAAAAAAAATTCCATACAGTTGCATAATTAATGAAGCATTATAAATATATTTAAGCTAAGACCACAATATACAAGGTGCTTCAGGTACGTGCCAACACTACTTGAAGTGTGGCAGTGTGTGGAGTGAGCTGCTCTGTACATTTATGATACAAGGAACTGAACTATGTACATATTCTTGGCAGAGGAGTTAGATTTGTCATCCCTATGCCCTCCACCATCAGTCTTATGGTTACAAAATGCACCAAGAATGTCACAGCGGGCACCACCTCTTCCTACAGCTCCTCTCCATGCAAGTGCCTAAATCCTATCCTTTTCCTTTCTCCTGCTTACAAGTAGAGATACTTCAGTGATCACCTCTAAATGTAAACAACTATGTAAGGGTGTTGGGGGTTCCAAAAAGTACTGAAGTCATCCTGATCTATTTGAGTGTTCTAGGAAGGCAATCACTGGACGAATAGTAGCAAAAGAAGTGAAAAATGGAAAGATAAAGCACCACAGCAGAGACCGACATGTTAGTAATCACTAAACACATGTGCCAATTCCCAAGACACAGCAGGACTGGTTAGTGATAATTTTCCACAAACCCTTGTTCAACTCTGTGTTGGAGAAAACCCTGACTCAAATGGATTTTGATTGATTCAATTATCTTTCAAGTATTATTTTGTTTATCTGTTTCTTATAAACTGATCGTGTGAGTCAACTTGTGAGTCTGCAGTAAGCTCTTGTGACAACTCAGAAAATATCACCTGAGTAATACTGCCAGTAAGCATTAGCAGCAAATGCAGCTATCACCAATACCTGCATGTGATCAATTGAGCTTCTGTTTCATTGTCAGCATGTTGCAGGACCAACCATAAACCAGTCCTCCCCTAAAATTCCTCTGCTAAATGTATGTCTTTTTCTGATATATGAACAGTCAGGTTTAGACTATTTGGTCTGCATGTTGGCCAAATTCTACCAGAGTTTTCTCATATTATCAAAGGACATTTGAAATTTCTAGGGAGTCTGTCACTACTTACCACAGCACCTATCCAGCCATGCTACAGCACTCCCATTTGAAACTACATCTTTTTTCCAATGAAATTGAACTATTAGTCCTGTCAAAGAATCCTTGAATGGCTAAAATGTTTCATTGACTAATAGAGCAAGTGAATTACTCTTTATGCCTTTCAGACATGGTATATAAATGACAGAAGTTTAATAAGGAGAAAAAATTGTTGACACACAATAACTACATATCATTTCATGTGATTCGATATGTGCAATTTAGTGTTTTGTTAAACAAACACAGTAGCTAACCAAAATCTGATTGCTGATAATGGGAAATAACATTAAAGCCTGTGTTCCTATGGTAATTATTGGTTATCTGAAATGGTATATGCCCTAAAATATAACACAGAAAATTACCTTCCTGTGAAATAAGAAATACAATAGAAATAAAGTCAAGGGACATGTTTATTTCAGAGCTTTCTGCAAGCAAAATTGCTTTGATACAAAATGAGTTCAATGATACAGTGCTACCATCCACTCAAGCAAAAGAAAACCTCACATTTACATGAATGCACTTTATATTGATATTCTTACAGAATATATCCAGAATGTGTCTGGCCTCATTGAAAGCAATGGCACAGAAATGCTGCAAGGTATTGGAGTATCATATTATTGGCGAGTGCTTAATTAACTCTGTGAGTTCTCTGAGAAATGCTGTATAAATAAGGGTACTGTGAATGTGGGTTTGTATTACTTAGTAGTTTTGATGTACATCCTTTAGTGTTTGCTTAGTTAGCTCAAAACGTGTAATTGTGTCTTTTGGCTTTTAGTATTCTCTTTTTCTTTTTTAAAGAAAAATCATGAGGTATCCTTTACTGTTAACTAATGACATAGTGAAATAGGCCTATTTTATTGAGATTGCAGAGACTTACTGTACATTCAGTACACTGTACATTCGGCAATTATTTTTAGTGTACTTTCTACATGTTACTGTGTACAACTGTTAGTTTACATTAGAACTCTTTCTCTTTCTCACAGGATATGGCAAAACCAAAAACAAATCTGACAAAAATTATACACATAAAATAAGAAGACAAATACACAAATAAGGCCATCTGCAGAATTAAAAATCCACCTCTTGCGATATTTCACAATAATTTCTACATAATATTTTACATCTTATGAACTTAAATATTTAATGCAAAAGGAAAAGACTTTTGTGGAGCCAATCATATTATCTCTTCAAGGACTTGTCCAATTTGCTGGCCAGTGGCCTTCTCTGGGGGGTTGGAATTTTTGAAGGCTTGGCTGATCCTGGCCGAGAACCTGCTCGGGGTGTCGGTCTGCTTGTAGCAGGAACAGTCTCTGACATATCTGAGCACACAGACTGGATTTCTGAAATGTCAAAGTCAGATGCGTCACTGCCTCGGCGGCTACTTGACCTGCTGCCAGCCTTGCTTCCTGCTCGGCTACCAGGTCTGCTTGGAGTTCTTCTGGTTTCTGGAAAGAGAGAAGCTAACCATCAGTATTAAAGGTAAGGTTGGAAAAGATGTGCAGGTCTTTCCTAGGTCTTTAGCAAACCCAAAAATTCCTTATTGCACAAACTAAACTTTAGACCTCTGCCAGGCAAGTTAAATGATGCTGTATCTCACACTAAACAGAAGGAAATTCAAGATCAAACACTGATACATAGTTGATTTGTCACTAGCACATCTCATTAAAAATGTGTTATCCTGGTTTTCCTGACTTACTAGACATGCATTGTACCTTCACTCAACAGTCAGAGCCTTTCTTTCCCCTGCCATTTTCTCAGCTATGAATTGAAAAAAAAATTAGTATCTGGCCTCTTCATTCTATCATGATTTCTCAGTATATGCACCTTGGAAATGCAAATTAACATCCCAATTTTTAAATGTGTACCCCTCTTTTTAAAAAAAAATCAAGCTCACACAGTTGAAAGCTGCAACTAAACAAGGGCAGAGTATACATTCTCCCAAACAAAGGGCTGAGTAAATGAGCCCTCAGTAAGCCTGCTAAAGTAAAAGCCTGCCCAGACAACGCGCCATGAAGAAAAAACCACAACAAAGAATCTTAAACAGAAAATCATTAATGTGGTTTTTCAGAATTTTCCAATTACTTATTAAGTATTTTTGATCTTCACAAATCTGGTTCCTTGCATGTGTGAAGAACTAAAATATTAGGTGGCTCATTTTTTAAAATCACCTGTAATTTAAAAGACATGTACTCTTTGATCAGGATTTCCCACTGCTGCTGATTATGCTTTGCAGAGCCTAAGATGAGAGGAAAAGCCAGTAGAGCTATCTTCTGTTCTAATCATCCATCCTTCTCCCTTATACAGAGCTGCTGTGAGGATCCTGGAAGAGCACAGCCTCACTGCTTTCTATTTTCATATACTGATTTAAAAATCTGTATGGGCTATTCCATTAATAAGGTCACCTACAGCTGCTCCCTGTAGTTCTTTCAAAAGAAATGGATGAGTAATGATTAAGTGAACCCTTTGCTCCATCACAGTTGAGCATAACTTGAATACTGTGAAGAACTGGACCCTTTCTTTTTAAGTAAATGCTTCTGCCCCAGTTCCTCAGGCAGATACATTGGAGATCCCACTGTCAAGAAGATTGCAGTTACAAATTTGCACATCCAGAGCTGAACATAGCTGCTGTGCAACCATGTGAACGGAGGACCATTACCCTGACTATGTGCACCCTCAGTAATGGGCAGACAGTAGGACCTTCACTCCTTCCCACTCTTCTGACATCTCCATCAAACCCTGATGTGACTCTAAGTATTCAGGTGGAAAACAAAGCAAGTGCTAGATCAAGCTCTAAAGTCAAGACACTCACCTGCAAACTGAGCTCTGACTCTGGTAGCTGCTGTTGACAGGATGCCACTGTCTTCTCCAGATTGGAAACCCTTCCCTGATAGATATCCTGGCAGCCTAAGCTTACTTCCTTGAATTGGTGTTCCCTATGCAAAGCAAAACACAATAAACAAATGTTGTTTTCAGCTGAAGATCAGGACTGGTCATAGGTGGTACATAGCTTAGAATATGATCATCGTAACATTCACTGTAAATCTGAAATACTAGTTTGAGCCACTATGGACATTTTTCGTGATGTGAAGTTTTGAATGTTCCTTCAGCAGTTTGTATTTGAAGTAGCCAAATATAAAAGACCAAAGAAAAATTATTTTAAAAGCTTGTTTAAAATTTTGTTTGTATCATAATGCATATAAAGAAAGAAAAAAGCTACCTTCTTATAATTAGTCAGGCACATAAGATTAGTTGATGGTACATCTTGAGGTTTTATGTCTGCATAGCTTGACTTTCCACCATTCAGACTGTGGTTATAGGCGATGAATACATTTGTTTTGCCTTCAAATTATTTTTATATTTGAAACAAGGCTACCAAATTTCAAAAACCTTTTGCTAAGAAAAAAACCCAAAACAAACAAAAAAATCAATCCCTCAAAAATACAACCAGAAAAAAGGGCATAGGACTAATTAAAAAAGTTTCAGTTGTCATTATCTGTCTTATATTGTCTGCAATTTCTCTACTCTACAGTCTTACCCTGCCTGCTTTCTTTTTTCTGAAATAAAATGTCTTGATTTACAATCTGTCCCAAATCAAAAAATTTCTTTCAAAACCACAAGAATTAAATCCTCATATCTCAAAATGCATATAACACACTAAATAAAATGTATGCAAATTGGAGAAAAACTAGAGTATTCACAGTAATTAGCAGAAAAATACTAAGTAAATATCCAAAATATAAAACCAGACCATGAAGTGTGTTCTGTGCCTTTGATCCCCATACCATAGTAGGTAGAATTAGGTACTGAAAACCAAAATCCAGAGGAGTGTGTTGGGAGCTGCCTTGAGCTAAGAACCAAGCAGAGGCCTGGCTCTGGCAGAGCTTTCCCGGCAGAGCTTTCCTGGCAGCTGCCAGCTCAGACCATGTCTGGTGCAGCTGAACAAAAGAACACTGAGATGCTAGGGAACAGACAATCTGCTGGCTTCAACAGTGGTCACAAATGTTAAACTTTCTTTAAAGCCAAATACAATGCTTGACGTTCAGCTAGACACACCTTGGGTATCTCTCTGTTATAAAGGCACTGCTTGGGAGGATAAGGAGAAAGGGAACACTTTCTATTACCTCCACTGGAACTGCTGCACTCTGGGCAAGGCATTGGGGTAGAATCACTGGTGTGAAAAGGAAAATAAGCCTGTTCTTTAGTTTTGCCCTAAGCCCAAATGCATAAAAAAATATAAACTTATAAAATAAATAACGGCTCTCTCAGGCAGAAAATGCTGCAGAATGCCTCAGAAATCCACTGCAACTTACCCCACCCTGACCGTTCCATTTATAATCTTAAACCACGGTTGTTTACATAAAAGAAACTCACCGAAACTACTGGCAGTTGTAAGAGCAGATAAGAAATACAGTGCCCCCATTTGAAATCAGGCCAACTGCTTTCCTGTCATTGTAATCCAATGAAAACAACACCTTCCCATGTCTATAAACTCTTTAAAGTACCATCAATTAATCTTTCAATGCAGTTACCAGCTAAGAGATGAAAGAAAATACATGAATATATTAGAAACTGACAACTGACTAAACTCTGTGCTGGTAATCATTCTAAGCAACAGCCCCGTGTGCTTGAAGTGCTGTAAACACAGACACACCTGCAGTGCACAAGTAACACACACAGAAGGAGGGAGTGAGAAGTTCATTGTGCATCTTTGAGCAAAGCCATGCTGAGGTTATGTAAACTTCACACCAGAAGGTGTCACAAGAATAGCCATAGGCATCAAAGTGCAGATTTGTGAAAAGCAGATACAACAGAGTGGTGGTAGCAAAAGGTTTCCCCTCACTGAGCCCTACACCTAACTCAGGGCAAGAGTAACTCCCACAAATGACACAGTGATACAGCTGCAATCTTTTCACTGACTGTAATGACATTAGAGGAGACACTTTGGCTCCAAGCCCCTTCGAATTTTGGTCACACAGCCTAATTGCCAGCACAATCCTAACTGCTATACTAGCAATTCCTACGTAAGTCATGCTGGTTTCCTGTTAAGTCATCAAATAGCAATCTTATTAGAGCAACGATTGGTCACTACCCCCCCTAAACAAAACTTTCTGTTGTTGGAAGCATTTATATATCAAAGTCAGTCTTTTTTGCCACCTTCTTCAAAGTGATTGGGTATTTCTTTATTAGTGGTTTTGCACTAGAGATCATGATTTATTAATCTTGTTCCTGCAGTTCAGGAATATTACAGTACTTTATGAACCCAAAGTAAACAATTTTAGGAAGGAAACATGTAAATTATATTAAAATGCCTTTTTTTTTTAAAGTACTTTAAAAAAAAAGATTTGGGGGAAAAAAGGGAAGAAATAATTTGACAAAGGTCTAAAATAAAGAAAATGCATTAATATGCACAGGACGTTGCAGCTCTGAAGCACTGAAACTCTAGCGGCTGTTAGTGAAGGGACAGTTTTAGTGAAGGAAGGTCATTAGACTAGAATCTCTGTCCTTACTGTACCTCTGCAGATGACCCTTGATAGTCTGAGGATTCTGATGGCTTAGAAGGAGTTGATGTTTTGCTGTTTGTCAACCATGGTTTACCATAGTTGCGTATTAAATGATGGGGTGTCTGTATGAAACAATGGTAAATCAAAATATGAAGGACAGTAGATGGAAAACAATGTCATGGAGAAGGATACCCAGGCTTTCATAGGGAGATCAAATCTCATAGTAGAAATAAAAACTAAGCAAAGGAGTTAATGACAAATGTTCTCAACCAAAGAGATGGCAGAGCTATGTTTTAAACAAAACGGAGAAGTTCGTTGCTCTTTCAGAGCAATTCTTAAACTGCCAGTTAGCTCATGTGACACCTTAAACGTAGACTTCTTCTATTCCCATATTGCAAGCAAAGAGTAGAGGAAATACATTGAAAAGACTTCTCAGATCCTCCCCAGACTATGAAATAAAATGGAGATACTTCTTCCCTATGAGCTAGGGAAAGCAACAATATTACTTGAGCAAGGAAAAAAACCAAAAATTCAATCTATACCCCATTTGTTAACTAGTGCAGTTCTGTACGCTTCTCCTTACCTTCGGTGTACTTGTAGCAACTCCCTGTGTGGCAGCTGCCTGGCCAGCTTGACTTGACAGAGAAGTAGATCTGTTGGGAGAAGCACCTCTCGAAGAGGGTCGTGATCTACGGCCCCTTGGTCGGAAAGCTGCCATGCTCTGACTGGCACCATCGGCCAAAATGAATTTTTCACGCAGCTCCACATTTGTCCTCCCTTTAGCTGCAGAGAAAGGTGTTCCATTTAATCAGATATGAAAATTGTCACAAGCCTGTTTATGGTCATTTTTGCCATGCCAACTCCAACACATTTTACCAATAAATAAAATGCATTATTGTGTAATGCATTTATTTTGGACACAGAAGAGTTATGTGCAGAACTCGCTTATTCTAACACTTTATGCCAGCAGGAATGAACCACTGTCAAAGGAAGTCAGCGTGATAATGGAATGCTCAACGTGCTAAATCTTTGTTAATCAACCAACTATTAATACATAGACACAACCTGATGAGCAGTTTTGCTATCTCTACAGCTATTTATAATAAATAATACTTGCTTGGATGTTCCAGGAGAAATAGCTAAGTACAACTTACAGGAAAGCAGCAAATATATTTATTCAAAACTATGAAGTTATGTAGTTTGGCAACATGCAATGATGAACATAAAACCCAAACTATGATGAGGTAATTGGTGGCTAAGCACTCACACACACATACAAACACACATATGAGAGGATGTTCTGCATGAATAGATGCAAGACATGTTAGCGTTTAACTGTTCAATGTGAATGACAATTGTTTTTGAAACACTCTTCAAGCGTGTCAAAAAATTAGCTTGCAAAGCACCAGCCCACGTAGGAACATGTTAAGCTAAATATGATGGGTGAAGCACATTGTTAAAAGTATATATATATATTTCTATCTTAAAAAAATGGGAAGGAAATGAAGAGAGAGAAGAAGAGGAGAAGGAGACAAAGAGAGGGATTTGCCAACCTATAGTAGGCTGAGTGGTAATTGAAGAGTTTGATTCCGAACGTAACATTTTACTCCCGTGATGATGAACTAGAAAAAATGACACAGGACATGGGTCACATTAAAGAAAATCGTTAGCAGGAGAAGAAATCAAGTACAGCAGCTGCATATGCAAGAGACTTGGAGCACCAGGCCAAAAGACAGGACTTGAGCAAAAGCTGTCTCTAAGTGCTCTGAGGCAAGCTCTCAAAGGTTTCCTATGCCAAAAGGAAATAGTGCTTGGACAAACAGCTACAGTCCCAAATATACTTGTGTAACAACAGTATTTATCTGCTGACATAAAGAAGTAATATAAGCTAGAGTGATTTTATATAAATAGGTGCAATACTTTTAAAGCTGCTTATGACAACAGTTATTTAAAATGTGATTTATCTGAATACATGAGGAGCACTTGGTGGAAATTAAGATTTGCTAGGTGAAGAGGTCAAGGAAAAGTCTGAACCTGCACCACTGGCATTCATGACTAATCTGCACCACTGACTTCAACCAGACTAGGATTAGGTACCTATGTACAACATCCACCAACTGGATGATTTTATAGAGCTTGGTGTTTCTTTAGACCCACTGCTCTGCTCACTTATTTCCAAGAAAAAGGAACAAAGTACTACAGAGAATACTAAGGATAGTAATAAGGAATTCCAATAAATTAATTAGACAGTTATTAAGTATTATATCTCTCAGCGTCAAGCCAAGAACAAATTGCAACAGTCTACCCCATCAATAGGCCTGAGAAAAATGTTTGGGATACAACAGAACTAACCAAGTTAACCCTTCAATGAAGTCAGATATTTCGAGGTACACTTCATTTTTTACTACCCTGTACTTTTGAGGAATAGGAATAGAAAGCTATAAAGTAAGGATGGCTCTGCAGGCATAAATGACTTTTCCATAGTGCAAAATCAGATGCTAAATTTCAGGTAGACTTGTGGTAACACCAATAAATGTAATATTATTCTTACATTTAATAAACAATATATGCAATAAACTGGAAAGCAAAAGGACTATTTTTAACCCTGCTAAAAAAGTCAGATATGTCATTGTAAAGTTAGGACAGTGCTTTCATGATACTATGATGTTATGGGTTTCAATATGATAAGAAGTTTTGTGGGTACCTTTCAAGCCTGTAGACAAAGGTTTTTAGTGGTACACTGCCAGTCCTTACAAGGGTTCTGTTCATTTTGCATTTAATAGGGGGTTTATGGTAGCTTCTTTTTGGATTTAACACCCTTGACCTAGCATGACAACTGCTGCAAATACAAGCTCTCCTCTCTCTCAAGGTCTGTAACAGAAACCTTCCTCAATATGAGATGGCTGACACTGGAGAAAGGTCTACAAAACAGCTGTGTCACTGTCTTCACTAGCTCATTTGCCATTCCTGAACCCTTCTGTGCTGTTCTCACACTATTACAATATTGATTATTACTACATTCTACAGAACTCCTAAGAAGTAAAAATGAAGTAAATTTAATACTGCAAGTTAACAGGACAGTACTACCTAGCTACAGAACATCAGGTCACTCTGAAAATAGTGAACACTACTTTCTGCAATTTTACTACTCTGGCTGCTATTTGACTTGTGTCTCTTCCACTTCCTTCACAATTGGATTCTTTCCTGTCTCCAGCTGTTCCTCCAAGAACAGTTCCAGACAGCCTACTTTCCCACTACAGAAGAGAGCTTTCCACTGCTGTGTACTGAGAATATAATGCACCTGATACAATGTTCTGGAGTACACAGTGATAGAGCGCTCCCTGCTTCTCTGGAGCACAGGATCCTCCAGACCAGAACCATTTCCACTTGCTTTGTATAAGGCTCAGGGCTCTGCAAAGTGGTTCTGGGGAGGATGCCAATGAAAAGAAAGGTTACAAAGGTAGAGACTGAAAGACCAGGCGCAGCTACTGGCCAGAGAAGTTTCTTATGGTGGTGGTGGTGGTGGTGTGGTTACTCATCAATTAAATTGCCTTATTTTGATTTATTGCCTTAAAACTTCTCTCTTGCTAAGAAGGTTTTATTGTAAATTTCTGTGTCCTACTTCTGCTAAGTCATACAAGCAGCTTACATGGCATAAACTCTATCTGGGCTAAGTTCAACTCTTAATTAGACCGCTTTAACACTGAAGGAACTGTGCAGAAGACACCACAACTATTCCAGACATACATTAGTGGACCAAAGAGGATCTCAACCATGGGATTTAAAGTTTACAAAAATGTGACATTTAGTGAGATGATGTTTACAAGAACTGGCATTTTATACAAGTCCATCTCCATCTTGAGACAATGAATGGTGACTGCATTCAAATAATAATCAGCATGTTCATTTTAACAGTTGCATTACATACCCCGGCAAGGATCATTTTTCACTAAGAACTCATCCAGTGCCATCCAGCCACCTCCAACACGAACCATGACTGTACTCCTTAGGATACGAACAAGGCGCAGTTGTTGAGAGTCACCAAACTGCAATAAGAATCAAACAACAGTCTGAGGTTCTCAGTCATTTAGATGTAGTTTAGCACTGACAGGTTAAAAATCAGACACTTAAAAAAGTTTATTTTGATCTTTAATTATTAGTAAATGCTAAAAAATCAATTTATTTAGGCAGATTATTAAAGCTGTTAAGATTTCAAATCAGATGGCACTGCACTAATCCAAAGAAGATGGCAGAATGTTAAGAAAGAATCTCAAGTTTAATTTTATGCTTGATTCTCAAATGTTTGAGGTCATAAAGGAAGCAAAATTAGTAATACATTATTTAAATGGTTACAGTCTGGTTTTGTGCAAATTAATGAAGACCTATTTGCATTATTTCACTGATAAAATCTTAAGCATACTCTCTTCTGCAACAGTCTTGATTTTTAATGATGTCAGCTGAAAGAAAGGCAGCATCACTTTAAACAATCAGTATGTGGGCTGGAAATTCAATGTGTTATGAGTGTTGCACAGTTCTATGAATTGATTCATTTGTAGGAATATTTTCAGATATAGCACTGACACTGCTCACCTATAGTAAGGTGCATGTGAGGAAAGGAACATTAAAGAAGCAATGAATGATTGATAGCTATCATTATTGTCCTTTGTTATAAAATGTTTGTCACTCCTCTGTCTACACATCAAGGTTCCTCACAATTCAGAGACGCACAATAACCTGTTTCATACTAAGTTCTGGTATGAGTCCATTTTTCCTTTGGGCCGATGGCCAGGCTTAATGAGTATTTTGCTCTTGAAACCTGTGTAACAAAACCTGTACACAGCACCTCCATTCAAAATTGGATCAAAGACAACATGACCAAAATGTTGACCTCACAATCTCAAGAAAACTAACCAGAATTCAGTATTTTTTAGCCAATGCTACTAAAATATTTTTATACCAGATCATCAGGTCAAGTGCAGTGCACTCTCACGCAAACATGCAGAGCACTCGCTAAAACCAACGGGAGTTGAATGCACCTCTTTAAAACAATCTCTGACCCTTGGAGTAGGCTGGCCATAATTCAACTGTACCTACTTGCTCCAGTGAGGGCACTGAAATGCTTTAAATGCAAACCACACAAACGTGCTCCCTACTTGTTAGATGACTTTAGTTGTTTGGTACTACTTAAGCCAAGAAGAGAGAATAAGTTTAAAGGACTATTACTTTTAGGAACCAAACAAAAGCAAAGTTTGCTGCTTAATTCAATAATAAATTGTATTTGCAATAAATAAGAACATTCACGTGATCATTATTTGTAAAGGATTTTTAATAATTTATTCAATATGTGCCAAACAAACAACCATTTTATATATGGAGATCAAAGTTTTTAAAAAATGGCATCTAAATTGATGCTGTTTATTTTTATTGCCTTGACCCTACTGAGAATTCTTTCTAAATTCTGAAGATTAGTATCTTTTTTCTTTATTTTTCTTCCCATCCCAGCTTAATTATTCAGTTAGACTCCATCAGGCAACTATATCAAGGGTCAAATACAATGTCCTTTGGCAACTGCCCACCTAGCTGCTGTTAATTCAGACAGTGGGGCTCCTGGAAAGTAACACAAGGCATTTCTTCTAATGGTAACTCAGTTAATTTCCTTCTTAAAATAGCCAGGATACCAACTTTCCTTAAACAGTATTTAACATTATTTCAAATAATCAGAGCTAAAAGCATAAGGGAGTTTAAGCTACAAAAAGTCCTGTTCTTGACAACAGTCATATAACGTCACTGTCACTAGAGAAGCCTCAGCTAACTTCCTGTGGCTGCTTTTTACCATGGTACTGTTCTGCACCAGTAAGAGATGCTCTCAAGAAATGCTGCATGTTTCCCAGATCTGAGAGTACAGATGGCAGATAAGAGGATTAACATAATTTCAAAGAGTCTTTTAAAAGAGAGACTTGTTCTATATGTGAAAAACATTTTCAATTATTGTTTAGATATATTGCTTGAGGCATGTGGTAAGATTATCCACTGCTCTGTGCTTTCTTCTATACTTCAAGTATAGAAGTATATTTACTTGCCTTTGCAAGTAAATAAGAGTGCGCCCACATTTGCAAAATCTTTAGATTTAAAATGGCTAATGCTGTTAACACTAACATATCCGGAATGTATTACACATATTATTGTCTTTTTAAAAGCATAAGATACTAATGGTATCTAGTTTGCATAAGGTATTTCCATTCTTACCAGGCAAATATGATTTAGCACTTTCGGAGGCTGTGTATCAGTACGTACCACAGGAATAAGTAAGGACTGGTTAGCATTTCCTCCCTGTACGGCTTCGGTATGACTCACCAGTGACCCAGCTGACACAAAGTATGTTTAAACACAGCTCCAGTACATTACAGACTTCCCATAGCTCTTTGAAAACACTTTGGGAGAGGGAGTAGTCTAAACTGGAACAGCAAGTTTATTTTGCCTATTTCCAAAATATGTATTTAATGATTTGTGTTACTACACAAAATACCACAAATCAGCCAGGTTCTTAACCAGTCTGCTTGATTCTACCTTTTTTTTTTTGCAAAGATGAAAGTATTTTTTATGTAATTTGCAATTAATAACTGATATGATTCTGGGATCTGTTTACCACAATTAGCCTTTAATCTAATGGCCTAAAAAAGATATTACAGAATTTTGAAGGATTCCACTATAAAGCTGAAAACTGATTAGATAATAGTAATCTCTATAATTACAGTTTAAATGCTCAAGATTTTTTGCTGTGGGAATTGCTGCTGACCATTATCTGGTTCCTTTAAAAGTAATCTCCTTAATGAGAAAAATTGCCAAAGAAAGCAGGTGAGGGATTGTAGAGGAGGGATCCTGAGACAAGGAACGCTCCATAGCATTTAAAGAAATACCACAGCTGACCAGCAATGAATTAGCTGAAGATGAATGGATGGCAAGTAGACTGACCATTGCAAGCTTAAATCACTATGCGTTAGAAAAAAAAGAAAAAAAAAAGGGGGGGACAAATAAAAAAGAAACTTCATAACACATTCCACTGGTTTATACCTGATTTCCCAGGAAGAACTGATAAGAAATGAAAAATGGAAGAAAGACACGATTAGTTTACAGGAAATTCTCTACATGACTCTAGAACACATGCAAACTAACACATTAGACACTCTAAATAAAGTATCTACTTGAGGGATGAGCAGGTAGCTAGCCATCCAGAGACTGAATATGGAAAATATTCAAGGCCTCTGTTTCCTTCCCATTGCTGTTTCTGTGGTCTTTTAAAATAATCTACAAGTATCTTTTAATCTCTCTTAGCTGAATATCGCATATTCCACTTGAAATTGTTCTGGTTTTTGGATCCTGGAGTAGCAGATCTTTTTCCACTATGTGATATTTATTTTTCTTTACTAAAATCGTCCTGCAGATATCTAACACTTTGCCTAACCTTCACAAGTATGTGTGTTCCAATAAAATGACAAGAGAGGGTAAAAGTGATTGAATACACTTTGGTAAAACATTTTTGAAGTACAACACAATACCACAAGAAAACAACAATCACTGTTTTCATTAAATTAATGGAAAATCAGCTACAGTTTAAACACTTTGGGTATCCAGGCAAAAAGACTGGCTTCTAAGGAGACACTGTTTGTATGTATTTATGTGTGTGTGTTATATACATGCAGTTAGCTTTTAAAAATTCCTTATAATTAAAAACAGCTTCAGTAGTTTCAGCAAAAATAAATACAAGCAGCAGCATTTTTCCATATTTTTAATCTATATGTTCTAATAAGAGAAAAAAACCATAAAATGTAGACAATCTTAAAGAAAAGATATAATTGCCATAAAAGATTCCTATAAATCAATATAGCTTAATTCCTTGCATAAGCCATGTCATATGAAGAAAGCTGAAAGAACTGAGGTCCTTAAAAGACTTACCCTGTACTTATTATCCCCAATCTGTTCCACTTGAAACCGTTTTGCACATTTACATTTCGCTACCTGCCTTGTAACCTGCAAAAAACCACAACTGGATAATTACTTTACTGTAAATATCACATTTCTAAAGACTTGTGTACCTAGTAAACTTCAAATTATATAGGAGTGAAAGTAAAATGAATTATTAAAGAATGTGACCCCAGTAGAACAAAATGCAACCTAAGAAAGCAGAGAATGTACCTCATCTTCAATTTTGTCAGCATCTGTGAGGGGCTTGTATGCATCCTTATTTGGATGAAGAGCTGCTACAAATTCATAATAGTCAATATATCCATCACCATCTCTATCAAAAATGTCTGCAACAGCACTCATTTCAAGTCGGCTTGTTGGGAATTCTGCAAGACAAAGACAACAACAAAAGTTAAATTTTTTGGCTTTTCAAATCCATTACAATGAAAGGTTTTATTAAAAATATTAAAAATATTAAAATATTAGGCATTTGGTGACAGATAATGTCTATCAAAAAAACCCAACAACATTCAAAAGAGTGAAGGAATCTTTCTGAAAAAAAACCAATCTGGATCTCCAGCGTTACCTGGGTACTGGATTAAAATGAGTATCATAGTGTGGCTTGAAGACAGACACAGAAGTGAGGGCACAGATTAAACTGTAAGGTATATGTTGGGGTTTTTTTTAACATTTTGATCTTCAAAGTGCATAAAATACCACAAATTAACAAGACAAATTATTAGTGAGGACAGGTCAAGCAAGCATTTCACTGCTAATTAAATCTGGAACGCAAGGCCGTCCCAATGCAGATCCATGCATGGTGTTTCGTGAAATCCTTCTTTAGATGAAGTTCACTGCAGCAAAATATTAACCTTCACACAGATTCTCAATGAAATGGTGAAAGGAAATTTCAAGGTGATGAACAGTGATTATATCATGAGGGTTTAGCAGTCATAACAAATTGATACCAAGTTAAATGGGTAAGCTATTTAACCTCTCAGTGATACGGGGTTTTTTTCCATGAGTTTCAGTCACTTCATGCAAAACAGCAATGTCCATGTATATGCATTTCCTAAAGTTGGGGGAAAACATATAGACTACAATATCCTCCAGCTGACTAACTGTGAGATGCTAAAAGCAGCCCAATTCCCAGTCTTTACTGTTCAAAGTAAAAGTGTCCATGATTTGAAGATAAAGGACTATTTTAAGAAGTAGGACCTTATCTGTTATGAGCCTGTTGCTAAAAGGAAACATGATCACATATAGACATGATGTGGAAGACTTATGTTACCACCAGCTGTGCATAACTAATGCATACCAATCCATCAGGAAAGCTAGGAAAAGTCCCTTCCTAGTTTGATTGCTTGGCATTTTGACCCTTATTATATAGCTATATGAATATTGTCATGGTTTATGGAAACACTGGTTTCAAAAATTACATGGTTTCCTTCTATAACTGAAATTATCCAATGCAAGTTCTTTGATAAAAATCATATGATCATATGATCTGATTTTGAAAATCATCTGTAGGTTCATTTTACTACTATGGTACATTTTACTATTATGACTAATAAATGAAAAGTAATTGTTGAAGTAGCTACTGTACTGTAGGAATAACAATCCAAGTCCAGTAAGCCAGTAAACTGCTAGCTAGACAATAATATAAATCTGTCATTTGTAACTTGATTCCCAATGTAAAAGAACTAGAAAGTTTCTAGAATCTAGAAATATTTTCAAGTAAAATAATTATAAAGTAATAATAATTAATAAATTCAAAAGGGAAATCTGCAACCTTTTAACACAATAAACCCTTTAGTGTACATTATATAGACAATAAGACTTCATGAGGTGTTTGTTCCAAATTCAACATAATTTTAAAACTTACTTGAAGAAAGAATTCCATCAATAAATTCCTGTCTTGTAATCTTTCCATCTTGATCTTTATCAATCCTCCTAAAGAAGTCCATCACACGAGACTTCTTATGGTTCATCCATCGCATGTATTTTTTCCTCCAAATATCAAAATCAAAGTTGGCAAATTCTCTCAGCTTAATAAAAAACAGAAAGAATTTTTTTTCAGCTGAAATCCATCAGTCTAAAACATCAATGAGATAGAAACCATCTGCGTTTTGTTGAATAACTAGTTCTTTGAGGACCTACATAAACATTTTAAATCTCTTAACTCTCCTCATTTAAAATGATGACAGCCTTTAAAGTACACTACAGCACATGCATCACAGTGTTTTCAGTTAGCTGTGTCATACAATATAACACAACAGATATGGAAGTTGTTTACAGTATTGACAATTTAACCCAGGGTAAAGAATATTACGCAAAATGTATGTATATTCTGTACAGTCCTTTTCTGACCTCTTCAAGTCTGTCCAAAGCATCATTAAGTTTTCTTCTCCTTTCCAAGGCCAGAAGCCAAACCTGCTGCCATTTGCTGACTAAAAGGTTTACCCGTGGATTCTTGGTTTCGATTTGTGCCTGGGTTGCTGATGGATACATGCCTGGTGTTGGGGAACGCTTCCCTGTTAACACATGATAAAATGCATAAGTCTCACACAGTTCCAACAAAACAAACATTCACATGAAGGCTACTTGACCCTCCTAAAATTACTCCTTCCTGTCCCAAATAAGGAGATAATATCCCGATATGTAATGGGACTTTTTTCTTTTTTTTTTTTTTTTACCATTTTTGGGGAATGATCAAATGGTGGTTACACTTGCTTTTGTCTAGCCAGAAGCAGCTAGTAGTGGCTCCACTGCATGGGTTAAATTAAATCTTTGTAAATCTCTCAGAGTTGCAAAGTAAACAATCTGATTTTAGAAGCAGGTTCTATCTATGGGTAAGTATAAAATACAATGGGTAAGTACATCTAAAAATACAAAAAGCAATTTCCTCACTTGATTCACTTTTCATTCAACTTCACTAAGTACACATCTTATTTGATTAATATAATTCCATAGACAGAGCACAATTTTGGCACACAGAGCACAATTTTGGCACTAAATCTTTATGGGAAGCTGTTTGCACTTTCAGGTAACAGTAGGTTTGCAAAGACTCAACATGTACTTGCTCTTGGAAGTTTAATAGCACATGAAAGGCTGCACACTTTAAAAATAGGTATTGATGAAGATTAGAACAAAATTTAAAAATACATGTCTGCCACGAGAAATTTCCTCACAATGAAAAATGAGAGATAATTGGAAAATCAGCCAAGAGAATTTCACCGTTTCATTCAAAGCTAATCAAACGTATTAGATTATTAGCAATCTGTAAACTTTATAGATAAAGCAACGTTATGTGTGACCCTCCCCAAAATACATCATTACTTACTGCCTGCTCTCCCCTTATCAAGGACAGGAATATGAGATTGTACTGGCATGGGTTCAAGTGCTTTTCTTTTATGGGTCTTTGTAACTTTATCCACATCAGGTTGTTTTCTGGTCATTTCCTCCATGAATGTCTACAATCAGATAGAGGTGATATTAATTAACAATACACAAAAGTAACCACAGGAATGAAAAACATATAAAAAAGCTAAACAACAAAGTTATAAAGAAAGGCACAGAAAGACACTTATAATGCTAAACTCACAAAATAGACACAGTTAAAGGTTTTGTAGATAAGAAAAATAGGCAGTATAAGCTTTTGAAACCACTACGCCCTGGCTGTTAAAGGAAGCCTAAATCCAAAAACAAGGCTGTCAAACCCCTTTATTAAATGTATATGGTGAGGTGCTATACAACAATATTTTGCCTCTGAGTACTTGCTGTTCAGACCACAGTTCATAGAAGTGACACAGCTCTGGTGTGTAAGCTGGGGTAAGTCTGTGAGCATTCACTGCACCAGCAGCTCCCTCTGGTACTTCATAAACAAGATTTTGAAACCCAATCAGTGAAGCCACACTGCAACACTAGTTCTAAGGTGGCAGCACTGTAATATATTTCATGTGGGTTTTTCTTTTATTCTTGTTATTATCCTTCTTCCTCTGGGGAATTGTAGGTTTGCTTTTAGAACAATGTGACACTAAATTTTTGATTGGTTGTTTTTTTATCTCTGTATTGAATAAACTACAAGCACATCGTACACATACAAAACACGTGACTGACTATCTGAAAAGGAATTCAATTATGAGAAAAAACAGTTAAGGAAATTCACACCTGATTAAGAATCCTAGCTGAGATGTGAGCACCACCTAAGCGACACTTAACATTCCTTACCTGATGTTCAGCTATAAGCGCTTTAACTTCCTCAATCTCCTGGGGGATAACCTCTTTATCTTTTTCAGTTAGTGTGGTCTCTGCCCACTGCAACCAGGACAGCAAGGCTTCCAGCAATTCCTGGTTAGCAATAAGTCCAGCCAGGGCTCCTGCCAGTCTCTGTTGATGTTGTTTAGCCCATGCTACAACCTTGATAAATGAACCAATGTGTGAGTAGGTGCACATCTGAAATTCTTCACAATGTATTTAAAATTTCTCTATTGACTGTAAACCCAGAGCTACCTCTTAGGCCTATTGATGTTTGAACATCAAAGGTGTTAAATGTAGGGGCTGATCACTAAAGGTAGCTAGGTAACTAGAATTCCTAGTTCAACACACTTTTTCCACAGATATTCAGGATCAGGTGCTGTTAAACACAGTAACCAGCACTTTCAGGTAACATATTAAGAATTTTAACAGACAATATGTGTAAGTTTCTGAATCACAAAGGATTTGCCATCCATCTTCCTCCTGGGCACTCTTAAAGCCATACTTCACTAACACCAGTATTTTGTTTTTCTTTAAACTTAATATAAAACAGAAAATACCACCTTAACAGTTGAGGGTTGTACACACTCTGCAACCTACCTGCAGCCACTTCAATAATTTGAAAATCTCTAGATTAAGAATACATTGGACAGAAATCCTCTCTGATGCAATTAGAAAATCCTTCACATTTGCCCTGTCCTTTGTAACTTTTAAGTTTACAACTAGAAACTGTTGGCTTTCCTCACTTGGGAAGTGTCAGACAGTATTTCCTTTAATACATACAAACAAGGAAGCTTGGCCATCTGCTTTAGTTCTTAAAGCCCTGCAAGTTTTGAAATAAAACCTAGGGAAACATGGTATTAACATCCATCCCCATAGGTATTTTAAATGTTTAGTTCTCAACAGCTGGATCTTTTCCTCCCAGTGTAACTACCATATTAGTTGTCAGCTATGTTCCAATCAAAGATGGACTGCTGCAATGAAGATGGTTTGACATATACTGACCTCTTCAAACCTGGCTCTGATGATTGTTATCCAGTGCTTAATGGTGGTGATGGAGTCTGGATGGCAGATAGCCAGAATAGCTTCTCCCATACCTGTTGCTTTATTCAGTTCTGCCTTTTTCTCTTCCAATTTCTTCATAAATTCCTAAAGCAGAGGTAATAATTTCAATTAGATGCTGAAAAAATTTGCAAGAGAAATCGGAGTGCATAATCTGGACAGTCAACGAGCCTCTTGATTGCTCAAAAACAATCAACTTGCAAAAGGCAAGTTTAATTTGCATGAGAAAAGCTTAAAATGTTTAAAAAGCCTATTCCACAGAAAGTACTAAAGACAGCTCTAAAACCTTTATCCCAGCTTGCCACTCCTTAAAAGCCTACCACTCTCTAAACACTTGGAAGACACATACCCTTATTAAAAAAAACAAAGGAAAATCACAGCATTTAGAAGTGCTGTAAACGAACTATATGATGGTTAGAATCACTACCGGCAACATTTCAATGACTTGGTTTGTCAGTTACAGAAATTCTTCATAACAAACTATCGACCTCCTAGCAGAGGCTGGAAATGTCCAACTATAATTACATGCTCAGACAAGATGACAGAGGAGTTCAGGAGCAGCTATACTAAACTAACACAAATGTGAAAACTCAGCAGCTGAGGGGGAGAGACACAGCAAGAACAGAGACAGCTAATTAGCCATCTGTTTTCAGAGGCACTGCCATGTGGGAAAAATCTTGTAAAAGCAAAAGGATGTTTACAGTTTTAGGCATCCAAGCTCATAGCCATTGTTATTCCTATGATGGCAGGACCACAAATGGGTGCAGGGGGGAACCAACAGGAAAAAAACTGAAGGAGGACTTTTGCCATCCTTTCTATAGCTTGCATTGCTTTCTATTTTTTTTCCTTTTTTTTCCCCCAGTTAGTTATTTTTACTACAATGGTTTTACTATTCTGCCTAAATGTTCTCTTAGTGAGAACCCTTAACTGGAACTGCCAACATCTCTCAGTGTCTAGTTGAATTTTTTTGAGCCCAGTCAGATCCTAGAAAATTCAAAATCACCAAAACATTGTAAAAATAGATTCTTCAACAGGTCATAATGACATTATTCTGTGCCTTAACAAAGTATGAAATTATTATGAAACAAAAGTGTAAAAGACAGTCTCTTCAACTTTGTTCTAGAGGGCTGGAATATGTAGGCTCCATATTTAAAGAGATTTGTTGTTAACTGATTTTGATTTAAGCTTAAATTACTGTCAGAGTTTAAGACCAAATCATAACAGCAAACCTCCTCTCATAAAAATGTGAGTCCTTAGAATATTTCAGTTCAACATAGTTTTGGAAAAGTTGAAGTGGGTTTTAACGAGATTACCAAAATAAACTGAGGCCAGGAGGAGAATGAGCAACTACATTGTTTCCCCTGCCCAGCTATACTAGAATATCTCAAAAATTAAATCTGTGATGCATTACATACAGCATATTAAGCTTTCCCTCAGTAAGGGATGAACTCAGTAAGGGATGAACTCAATTGTGTTGAGCTCTGTGGCAATCCAGTGATACAGACACATTAACAAGAGAGGAGATGGGATGCTTCTCATCCAGCAGTGCAGTGTATTAATCCACTATAGATCTCAGTCCCCAGAGAGGAGGACGAGTGACACAAATCTCTGGCTGAGATAGTAGAATTCACTAAATCATGTGCATTATTCAAGAAAATAAAATCAGAAATAGGCAAAGATGGACCATTTGGATAAAATATTGTCGAGAAGAAACCTTTCAACACACAACTGAACACAAATGCAGCAAAAGTATTTTACAAGAACCACAGTGACAAAAGGAATATATATTTCATATTTATGTGAATAATTTCAATAACGTATTTTTATATTAATATTGCAGCATTATAATACCTAATGGTATATGGTGTAAAAGGAATACATATTCCTTCTTCCCTGATTTTTCTGTTTTTTCTTCTTGAAAGCTAATGTTATAAGCTTAAAAGGAGAGATCACTTATTCAAGGAAGACTGAGTGAGTGGTAAAGCAGTAGTGCCATAATCTTTCTTAGCTTAACAATTTCTCTATTTCTATTCTTTAGCCTTTAAGAAGAAAATATGTTTGGGAGAACCTCTTACAAAGCCTACTAAAAAAATTTAAGTACAGTATGGCCACATCTAACACTGAGGCTAGTTGTGTTGTGCTAGCAATCATCCTTCCCAGATGGACAGGGTTTCTCAGAGACAAGCTTTGCTTTGCTTTGAGGTTTGAAGTTATGCTTCAGCTTTTGCAGCACAATTTGGAACTTCAGTACAGAACTGTTTTGTTAATCCATCTACAGTGCAGAAGAAGAAATTTAAGATTTTTTTTCTTATTACATTCCCCTGCTAATGAATAGTACCCAGTTTCCAGGGCCCTAAATTAAAACTGACAACTTTTTCAAAACATTGCATACTAAGTACATTGAAACTCCTTAGTTAGGAACTGTTAAATAGTTGTATCTTGCATGCACTCCTCTGCATAATAGCATTACCAAACTTGATTTAAACAGGATGCTTTTCCACTCTCCATTTTGTAAGTTTTGCTCTAACTTTCTTCGGAGCAATGATGAACAAATCCATGCCTTATAATTTGTTCTGTAACACTATGCACACTACACTCTTGGAACTGTTACTACTGCACTTACAACAAGTTTTGCATGGGCTTAAACGTGGATGTTTGTAGCCTCTTGTTTGGAGAGTGAAAATATGACCTCTACGCTCTTTAGTTAGGCATTTTCCCATTTCATTACTGCAAAGTTAGTTTGATGGCCCACAATCTACTTTCTGCAGTACCTGTGCCACTGCAGTATTTCAGTAGCTAATGCTTATCAAGTATGACAGCACACTGTTTCACCATGACAAAAGGTTAATGGATGATAACATCATTCTGCTGACATTTACAAATGACCTCGAAAGAAAAGTATACGCCATTTTGATCAATGGTGCTGAGACGATAGATATGCCTTTGCTACTGTAGCCATCTGTGTTGTAATTGCAGGCATCATATACTGCACAGAGGGGTTTGAATCTGTCTCTAAATGTTTACAGTAACTTTCTAAAGACCCATTATTTCCTCAGTAAGCCAAGATGACTCAAACAAGAGCCCAAAACCAGTATAGACATTAAACTATCAACTACATTAAATTTCTAGATTCTCTTTTATAGAAAGAGTTTCAAAAACCAACACTGGATGCTGGACCAAACTACATGGGTGTGGTAGCTTGGTCTAGGCCTTCCTTGGTGACCAGTTTGTAACCAAGGAAGGGTCCAGATTTACCAAGTATTCCCTACGATTTTTACGTAAGCCAGGCTATAAGAAGAAAGGAGGAAAGGCCTTCAGTCTCTTTTCCTTCCGGCGACTTGGAGGTGCAGGTTCCCTGCTGTTGAGTCTGCCGTGTTGGGGAGCGAGGCCTGGTAAGGCCTTGTCAACCTTGGGAGATGGAGGTTGCCGGTGATCATTCCAGCACGACTCTCCGTTGTCCCAAGGAGAGTAGTAAGATAGTTGGTTTTTTTTGCCAATTCTTTTAGTTGCTAGATGTTGGGCTACTAATCAAGATATATAGATATTTTATTTTGGTTTTGTTCCTTTTCCCTTCCCCCTTCCCTTTCCCTTGTGAAATTGTATATATTTCAATTGTATATACCTGTAACATAAGTGTAAATATATTTTTATATATATATTGCTTTAGCTGTCTCTCTCTCGTTTCAGTTTTTCTTGGTTGTTTTTCTCCCTCTTCTCCCTGAGGTTTGGCGGGAGGGGGGACTTCTTGTGGTAAGGTTTGGAGACTTGGCAGGGAGCCAGCTTCAAACCATATCAATGGGACAGACTGCCTTCTTTCTTCTATTTACCTTCTATCAGACCAATTAGAATGAAGAGGATCCTCTTCATTTTCTTGCTTACCCTGTGCTGCTCTATCAGTGTACGCAAGGCCTCTTCATCATCTGGAAGGATGCCATGGAAACGAAGAGCCTGCTCTGCCTCTGCCAGCCACTCCAAAAGGACATGAACAACAGAGTGGAATTCTTCTGCCTGTTAAAATACAAAAAGTCATGGTCACTCATGAGGGGATCTGACAGACACGCTGCAGCTTACCCAAGGAGACTGAGCCCACATTTAAAATCATTAATCACACAGCAGTACTGGCACATTATCTTTCCATTAAAAAGTCAATGATATACAGTAATACATTTTCATAACTGTAAAAATAGCTCATGCTTCTCAAAAAATTATAGGAAGCCTAAAAGCCTGTTCATGCTTTTAGCCATCTGATTTATAGTGTATTTGCAGCTCAGTTGTGAATGTCATGCCTTTACACTGACAAATTACAAGGGAGGTGCTTTGCTTTCAGGGACCAGCTGTAAAGATGAGAACTGTATTTCCTGCACAGCCTAAATCACCAGTTAAGCAAAATGAATTGACAGCCTGTGGGAGAGTGACCCTTTTATGTCTGGAGAAACAAGAAAGATTCACCTTTGGGCACAGCCATATTCAGACACAATTAGAGTTTGAGGTACCTTAGGATTGTGTCTGCTGAGAGACTGGAGATCTGGACAAACCCTGGGAAAAGCAGAGCAGGAATTTTGTACACAGTGGATACACTGCTATTGGAGGAGCCCCATCTTAGAATCAGTCCAGGCTAGTATATCTTCAGAGAGCTGTACATCCATATTATCTCAGGTTTGGAAACAATACAGATAGATCTATTTGTTTGGGACTGGTATCAGACAGTATTGACATACACAGACTGTTCTAACTCCTGAGTGCACTCAGCACAACTATCTTTCCTGCAATGTAATTCACTTTGCATTGTAATTGTGCCAATGTAAACAAGTTTTCAATAGAGAAATTTACTTCTTTCCAATAAGGTACAAAAAGCATAACTACGATTGCAATCTCCAGCTACTTGTGAATGGGGCATAGTTCTTAATCATCCTTCATGTTTGACTGCAACTTCAGTGATTTCCTTAGATGGTAAGGTCTTTGAAACATTTGTTTTGCATTTGTGGTAGAGACTAATAATAACATTAATAATAAATGCTAAGAGGCACTATTTATGTGCCGTGGTAAAGGGATGGAGACCAGGTAAGCAATGCATGAGCAAGAAATTAGTATTTTCAAATGAAATGGAAGTGAATGACATTAAGTGAAAATGAAATTAAATTTTTGGTAACTAGACTGCAAGATATTTTCACTAGTTCTCACAGAGTACACGTAGTGACAGTAGTATTCCTTACCTGCCGAAGAGCCTGTTCCAGTCGTGTTTGCTTGGATACTGACAGGGCACAAACTGTCTCCCAGCGAGTGCTTAGCTCCTGCATTTGAACTTTGACCCAGGAAGAGTCATCACGACTGCCTTCTATCAGCTCCCTCGCAGAGCGCTTCAGAGCCTGGACACTACTTGTTCTTTTTCCCAGCTCCTTCTGGAAAACCTAGGCACCATCAAATATATTTGAAATGTTTAACTCATTGAGGCGTACTTATGCAAAAAATAACAAAAAACTACTGGTTATGAGAAGAAATCAAATAAGAAGAAATGTTCACATTAGTAGATGGAACAAGCTCCAGTTACATAAAGGAAGCTCTTAAAAGAAGATACGGCAATTATAATATACCATGCCACTGACTACAACTTACTTGTGATACACAATGGGATTTCAGAAGCAATTGCAGCATATTGCAGCCTAATTTTTATAGACAACCCATGTTTCCAAACACTTTTTTCATGAGGGACAAAATCTTCTCCTCAGTGACTGAAAGTCAGTGGTGGATGAACAGAAGGACCTTTACCTCACGATCTTCCCAGGCTCCAGAGTTCTGCCTATGTGTTGCCTTTGCAATACAAGTAACTTCAACAGTCATTTCTTGTGACATACTGAACTGCAAAACTGGGATTCAAAGGCAAAGTCCAACATCTCCTACTTGCTCTCATCTCCTAAACCATTTCAGTAACAAAATAGTGCAGCTTTCCAATGCAAGCTTCCTGGTTCATGGTCTAGTTGAAATCTGTGCATAACTCAAGCATTGCAACTACTTTGCTTGATAAATACACAGCAGCCCCACAGGTCTGAAAGGCTGCTGCAGTCATGACAAGTGCACTGGACATTTGGTTAACAGATGGACTAAAGAAAGAGCTGTCTGCCCCAGAGTTTTCCGGTAAAACAATTTTTGCCATCTCTTGCTCATAGACACATATTTATAAACGCATACTTGTGATTTGACATGACATTCATAAATACACAGGACAGCACCATTAAATGGACTATCTCAATGGTAACTGGTGTCAATGAGTCACTAGGAGCTGTCCTCTTTCATGTATGTTTTATAGCATTTTCTATTGTTGATTATGTTTGTGTTACAAAACTATTCCATATTTCTAAAAATTACAGAATAGTCAGAGATAAAGACAGCATTAAAATGTTACACTTACAACCAGTACAGTAATTAAAAAAGTATTTTTGGAATTACCTTGTGATTGTCAATCAGGTTCATCACTAAATCAATGTCTCCATGTACTGGCTGATCTTCTGCTAGTTGAGGTTCAATTTTGTATAACCAGTCAATGAGAGCTTGCAGAGCATCAGTAAACTGTCCCGAAAATAACAGGGCTTCCTCCAGTTTATTTTGCCTGGGAGGGGAAAAAAACCCCAGAACACACACACAAAATAATTATTTATACACTTTAAGAAAACATTTTCAGCATAAAATAACAGAATCATAGAATCATGACAGTTAGAAAAGACCAGCAAGATCATTAAGTCCAACTGTTAACCCAGCACCACTACGTTCACCATAAACCATGACCCCAAAGTGCCACATCCACACATCTTTTGAACACTTCCAGGGATAGTGACTAAGCCACTTCCCTGGGCAGACTGCTTCAATGCTTTACAACCCTTTCAGTGAAGAAATTTTTCATAATATCCAATCTAAACCTCACTTGGTACAATTTGAGACAGTTTCCTCTCATCCTGTCATTTGTTACCTGGGAAAAGAGACTGATCCCCATCTGACTACAAACTCCTTTCATCTACAAAGCAATAAGGTCCCTCCTGAGCCTCCTTTTTCCAGACTAAACACCACCAGCTCCCTCAGCCACTCCTCATCAGACTTGTGCTCCAGACCCTTCACCAGCTCCATTGCCCTTCTCTGGACACACTCCAGCATCTCAAGTTCTTTGTTGTGAGGGGTTCAGAACTGGACACAGCACTCAAGGTGTGGCCTCACCAGCGCCAAGTTGTCAGAGACTGAAACATTTAATGACTTACAGATTCTAAGATCACCAAAAGACTTTTGCAAACTGGAAAGAAACAGCTGCTCACCCAGCAAAGCCCACCCCTCCCTGAATACTGCCAAAGGGCCTTCAAATCAGGTAAGGGGGTGCCATTGTCCAGCAAACTGGATCTCCAGATAACAGAAGAGGCAAATCCTGCGAAGTGGGACAATCCCTCTTATCATGCCAATGTCTTCCCTTTACATAATTCTGTACATCTAGCCTCGGCTATGCACGTCAAATATTGGACCATGATGGATCCTGAATGATGCTGACACAATAGGCAGCTGCAGCTCTTTTACAAGATGTCAGAGAATCAGTGACATGTCCCATGATACTATCCACTGTAAAACTCCCCGCCCCAGGGAGGTACAAGGCGTTCTCATCTGAGTTAGAAGTGTACAATAACTCATAACATCTTTGAGTTTTGGCGGGGGGGGCTTCCCCCAGCCCCAACGGATCAAGACCACCACTTCAACCAATAGACGTGGAAGCTGCAACTATCAAGTTTCATAGCTGCATCCTGTGGGTGGTGACTATATATAAGTCTTTCCATCCTTATCCTTTCTTTCCCTTTCTCTCCCTTATGTATTTCCTTAAGTGTTATCTTTATGCTTTAATATTGTTATGCTTTAATAGCTCTATATTGCTATGCTTTATTGCTATAGGTGCTTTAACATTGCTGTGTTTTAATAGTGCTATACTGCTACGCTTTAATGTTGCTATATTGCTATAGATGATAACACCCAAAACAGCAACATACCTGTTCACAAAATTGTTCTAAAATAAACCCTACATATGTATGTTTACAAACACAGATTATTAGTGTCATTTCACTCTAATCCACCCCAAGGGATTTATTAATAAGAACCTGGGTTACCCTCCCCTTCTGGAGCAGGCTGCAACACGAGTACAGGGCAATGATCATTGCCCTGGTTCTGCTTGCCACACTATTGCGGATACAAGCCAGGATGCCATTGGCGTACTGGGCCATATGGATATGCTGCAGGCTAACATTTTGTCAACCAGCACCTCCAGAGAACTTCAATCAGTTTCCCTTTTTAAAGGACTCTTCCTTCCCCACCCTCCCCCTACCCTTCTTCCATACCAAAAGGAAAGCATGCATTTACAGTATTTTACTGCTTTGACACTCCTAATTATCAAACAAGCTAGCCACTCTGGTTTTACTTTTACACAAGAAAACCCAAAACAGAAGCCAAAAGAATTTTCCTAAGCATTTCTCTTATTTGATTAATAATTAGAGAGTTTTCATTTACCTTTCCACTGACTTTCCACAAATTGTATCCCACTTATCCCTTAGTTCACTAAGCATATCATCAAGTTTCAAATTGTCATCAGCCAAGGTGGTTTTCTCTTTCAAGGAACGTCCAGTTCTATTCGTGGTATCATACACAGAATGTTTGGCACCAAGAGATTTCTGAAATTCCTACACATATGGAAGAAAAGGAAAAAAACCATATATCATTAACTGCTTACAGGCCATTGTTAATTAATTTTTGACATACTATTTGCAATGTTAATTGTAAATGTTGCTGCAAGAATATTTTAAACTTACTGCAAAATTTCTATGCTAGTGCCACAGTGCACCTGAAATTATGTGGGGCTTGACACCGGCAGACCCCTGCTTTTTGTCCTTCTCTGGGAATGTAGCTCTATGCCTACTGGAATAACTTCCACAAAATCCCTCCTTCGGTGAGGGCAATGATTCCTGTCCTACCATAATATTCCCAAATTTCAGCAAGGGGTGCCTGATAGTGAAAGAACTGCTACTTTGGGAGCCATTAACTGAGCATTCTTCACACTACATTCTTACAAACTAGGATTTCAAGCCACTTGTAGAGCTCTCCAAGAGCTACAGAGGTTATTCTGGTTTAGCTCAACATGGGCAAGCTGGGAAACCTCCAACCACAAGCCTTTAACTCTCTTAAGATTGAAACATACTATAATTGGGAACAACTGTATGCCACAAGTGTAGATCCAGGCACAAGTCAGGTGACAGCCCCGTAACTCTGTGCTAGAAATCAAGATCACCAGCAGGTTTCTGTGCCCAGGGACTTTGAACAATGACAGTGACACAGCAGTTGCATCTGCCTGCCAGCTCTGACAGGTCCTTCTGCACAGACCCTCTGGAAGCTTTCCACAGGCACAGTGGAGCACACAGAAACGCAGTTCATCTGATACCACAGAGGAATTAACCAACTGACAGAGTAAATAACTAAATAAAGGAACACTCCCAAAAGACAACACCAGCTCAACACAGCAGCTTTGAAATGGCAGAAATGCTTGAAATATTTTATTTTACACCTTCATGAACCACTAGCAGGAAATCAGTTTAAAAAATCATAAATCACAAGTGCCCTTTAAGGAAACTCTTATATATAGAATCAAGTATTCTTCCCCCCCCCTTTTTTCTGTTACAAAAAAAAAGCAACATCTGCTTTGTAATTTAGTTTTTCCTCACTGTCCTTTTGTTTTCCTCATATAAAACAAGGAAACAAACTTCAAGAAAGAATATAATTGTCAAGTTAGCACTAGAGTAAAAATAAATAACATATTCATAATAACCAGTTTTTTATAAAAGTTCCTTCAATATAAACAATACGTCTATGCTTCTTTTATTTGATGGAGTTTGTTAACTACTTAACACTACATGCACAGTGTTACTAGATTTGCACCAGGAAATACAATTAAATTGTTGCCAGAGAAGGATCATACAGGAAAAACGGATTTAAAGGTGAGCAAAGGGTTGCAGTCATGCAGTTCATTCCTTGAGAGACTACATCATATCTTCTTTCATTTGATTTCACAGGCGTGTAACTGAAAGTAGATTTTAGTTTAAGCTGCCAGGAGCAGACAAGTAAGTTAATTACTGAGATTACGCTCATCTAGCTACCTTCCTTCTAAGGAAGATGGGCACATACAGATAAAATTAGCCAGGTTCATATAAATTTACTGTAAGGAACACTCAGCATTAGCACAGGAATAGATTGGGTGACCTAATATTGCTTTTTCCATTCCTGACTCCTAAAAATGAAAAAAAATTCTGATAAACAGACCATGAATAACCCCCAAAAGTCCCTGGCAACACACTAGATATGAGTGAGAGAGAAAACATATTATCTTGGCTTTTCTTTTTCAGGGACTTTTTTTTTTGGCAGTAACAGCTGGCAAAAAGCGAGTCCAAATTATTGCTTACAGCATGCATTCAATTTGGATAGCAAAATCTTTAACTAAATGGAGCAAGGAAACCTTCAAGGCTGGAGAGAAAAGACAAAGACAGACACGGGGTACATGTGGGAGTGGAAGGAAAAGACTCAAAATACAAGGAAGGACATTGCAGTGCTGGGAGGTTTGACAACTCATTAAAAAACAATTGAGTTGATTTCTTGAGGGGGTGGTGTTTGAAGTTTGAAGTTACAAAGTTCACAGAACTCCCTCTGTCACACACATTCATCTTTTTTCCTCCAGATCACCAGTTTCAATCCTTATGTCCCTGTAGCACATTTCATCCCATTCCTTAACAAGATTCAAGCAACTCAAGCAGAAATGCTCTGCAGGCATTTTATATGAAAGGAGCTATATCAATGACAGAAAGGATGAGTCTGCCAATCCATGTGAGGAAGCTTGGGTTCATAAAACCTGTAGGTATAAGGTAAATATCAAGTTTATCAAGTTTAACATTTCTGAAGAGGGGAGAAGAATACAGGTAGGAGAAAGTCCTGAAAGGACCTCAAAGCAAAGTCACAAAGTGTTGACCATACTCGTTAGGTAAATATATAAATATATGAACATATAATGAAAAAGAGGAGTGAAAGGATTAGAAGATTAAGAGTCAGAGGAGACAAGAAAGACTGTCCTAACAGCAAGATTCCCTCTTGCCAGTTCCCATCACCAACTTCAAATTCTGGCAACAGCAGCAATCCCAAAACAAACTGAAATTGCAGAGTCAGCATAACAGAATGTCAACGTAGGTTTTATCTAAAAGTTTTAACAGCAAACACAGGTAAAGTACTTTTGCTTGACCAACAGTCAGCTTTCTCACAGACCGATGCAGTAACAAATCATTAATATACATGACAAAACTTGTTGGAGGTAAGAGCAATCACCAGAAGCTACAGCAAAAATAAAACGTTAGATATGTAAACTTTTGGGGATATTGTGCAGAATGAAAACATAGGAGTAAATAGAGAACCATAAAACTGACATGAAAAGTAAGTATGTGCCAAAATGTAGAAAATGAACAGTCTTTCAATATTCTGTCTCTGATGAAACTGCTCCATGAGAAATATTAAGACACAATCATATCTCTGAGGATTCTATCACTCACTCACTTGGTTCTCAATAATATATTATGCCAGACATTTTAGAGAAGTAAAAATGAAGTAAAGACTACTTCAGCCTTCCCTTTTGCTCTGTGTCTGCTAAAATTATCAAGCTTTTACATTATCATTACATGTCTGAAAAGCCAGGTGAATGAGGGAGATTTTTACATTTTCACCTACAACAGGTGGGTTTGTGAAAAGCTGGTTTCAGAATTTGGAATCCCATGAAGAGAAACCACCTGTGCTATTAATAGTGTTACTGTACTTTCTAGAGGATTTCATTATCATTTCCACTTGACATAAAAAGCTACTGCCAATCAAAATACAAGATTATTTTTCAGTTTTGAATTCATCCTGCAGTATTAAAAGGAAAATCTCAACTCAAATAAGTGGACAGTAAATTTTTGGTATAAATACTGAAAGAAAGCCCCTTCAGAGATTCCTATTCTGAAATGGTATAAATCTGCTTTCCAAAGTTTCCATGATCCTGTATTATTGTCTTTCCTCTTCATTGTTAACCATTCCCCAACATATCAGGAATCGTGAAAAGTGTTTGGGTTTTTTTCACTCAGCCCCTCTTAAAACACCATTTAATTTGATATGAATAAATACTCCAGTGCAGCGAGGCCACAAATCTACTTACTTTGCTGATTGATCAGCACAAGGCTGATAGACTTACCTACATTTCACTTGGCACTTTGCATTTCATGACTCACCTTATGCTGTGCGAGCTGCATTTTTATTTTATCAGGGTCATTTGCAATTTCAAGATCTGAGTCCAGAGATTTCTCAGACTCTTCCAGCCATTCCATAAGTTTGTGCCAGGCTTCATGGAACTAAAGAAAAGTGAGATTTGCATGGATTTTAAAATTCACTGGTTCATAAAACAGTTCAATAACATTAAACTCCAACCAAGACTGGCAGACTTTGACAAGATTTGATGTGTTTTTTCTCCCTGGTCTCTTAAACAGAACCAGTTAAACCACGTGCCCACTGTATTTAGCTTCCCTTCTCCTAAGTGAATTAGCAACCTTTAATGTACAGGATGTGCACACGTAGTATGCATCTGTCAGAGACATATTGGTAACATCTGTTGATGTGTTGGCCATTTAGATTTCTACATTTTTAGTAATGGATAGTAAATACAGAAAGAATGGGGATTAGCTATTGCTTATATAGGACGATAGCAGTAAATCACTGGGGAAAACTTCTGTCTGGATGACTGCCCGAGATTTTCCCTGTAACACCCCTGAATGCTCTCATTATATCAAATGCTATCTTGACGGGCAAGGAACAGATTTTTGATCTTCCTTCCTGTTTTGACGAAAAGAGTACTTTGAGGAAGGAAGCAGGGAAAAACTAAAGATTCAACGAGCTTTCACAAAGTGGCATCCCTTTGGGTTTTCATTTTTCTAAGCTGGTCATTTCTCTCTCTTTTGAAAATTCTTCTTGCTTGGGCTGCCTACACATGAAAGCACAAGAAACTAGTTCAGAAACTTCTCAAGGCTCCTAGACCCTGTTGTTCAGGGCTGTTGATTAGGCCTTGACACTGGTAGCCTTCAGTACTCCTTCAACACTCTACATAGAAAGTTGTCATCTTAATAACACTGTATTCAGCTTTGTAAATGGATATTGAGATGAAATCCATCTTGTTGCAGAACTGCTGGGTGTGGGAATGCACAAGAGAAATGACTGGAAAATAAGTAACGTGATTGGCTTATGGGCTATTGCTCAGAGAACTTCTTGCTCTATGAGCTGAGTGGTGGTAGTGGTGAACATGGGAACATGGTTTGGCTGTGAACATCACCAAATCTTGAATGATCATGTTCACTTGAATAAAAAGAAGCTGGAATTTCCTACTGCCATTTAAACAGATTACATTTCTCTCACACATTTTGTATCTTCTCATTTATCTTTCTCGGTGAGGGAAACATGTATCTAAGGAAAAAACATGAATGCTTCCCAGTGAAGAAAATTGTGAAAAAAAAACCCAAAACAACAACTCTCCAGGTTCATAAGGAAATAAATGGAGATATATTATTACACAGAAGATATTGGTCCAGTAACTAACATAAGAGATTGAGTGATAAGTGATGACTAATAATCAGGGCACAACATAGATCCAAGATGAAAATACTAAGGAATATTCCCACAGATTAGTGAAAAGGGGTCATCACATTCTTTAAAATATATGGGGTTGATTGTGAAATTTCTTTCTGAGGACAGATGGCACTAATACACATCTGGAATCCATGCTGTTACTTTCTTCTTTCAGACTGTCCTGTACTGCAGACAGAAGTCACTGCTCGGGTTGAAAATGACGCTTTCACCTCCCAAATGAAGTGTTCTATGATTGAATCACAGAAATTGCTCCACTAACTCAACACTGTCTGTTACACTAAACCCAGGCTTGCTTTGTAAGTGCTTTAAAGCACCATATTTGTCAAGAATCTGGACGCAATTACAGCTAAGTTCAAAGAGCTGTAAAACAGCTGTTGTCCCATTACCTGTTTGGCTCTTTTCCTTGCATCATCCAAAGCTCTTCCCCTTTCAACTAAGCGTTGAACTACTTTTTCCCATCGGCTCTGTACACTAATAAGCAGATTCTTAATAAGGACAACGTCCTGTTTCTGGCTGAAGTATTTCAAATGCGTTCCAGTTTTGTCCAGTTCTATGATTTGATCTCGATGAGAGTTCACTTCTGTGGCAAAAACCTTGGGAAAAAAGGGAGAAAACTACTCAATACTGTGTTGCTGGGTAAACACTGAAAAAACTCAGTCTGATAAAAAATGATATAGTGAAAAAGACTATAAAATACAATTTTAAAACAAATTAAATGTTTCTCCGAGTGCCAGCATTATAGGGTTCATTTGGACATTGTTACAGTATCTCCACAGAGTGGGAGAAAAACATTACACATCTGTTTCTTTACATACCTTGTGTTCATCAATTTGAAATAAGACAGTGTCCAAGATAAGACTTGGCCGAGAAGCTGCAGTTAGAGTTTGCTCAGCCTGAGTAAGCCAGTTGATGAAATCTTGAAGTGAGTTGTGGAACTCTGTTGCTAAACTGAGGGCTTCTTCCAGTTTGGTCTGTAAAGATAGGTCATACTTTAATAGCAGTTGATACTGTGCAGGGGCTTCGGCCAAGGAAGCCATTTTAGTTCAGTACTTTACAGTAAACCATTTTAGTTGAGCATTTTAAAACACTTTTCCAACTTAAAAGTTTCTGAGTTTTAAAATAACAGCCTACATTTGAGCATATTCAAGGAGATGAACAGAAGAGTAACAACAAAATAATCTATGACAGATGAATAGAAAATACAGCACCTAGTATCAAAATAAGTTTTTTCACATTAGAACATATCTTCTACTACTTAATCCTAATGAGACATATGGATTTATCAATTTCAACATAAAACCAGTAAAATCTCAGAAATCTAAGGTGGCGGTGCACTTGAAAGAGCCTCAAGGAGGTCATCAAACTTGCACTAAACAAAGAATAAGTTTTCCTAGACCACTTCTTTTTATTAAAGCTCAACTGTCATTTTGGTGTTGTCACATGTGTGGTGCATATCAGTGAAATCATGCTATTGTTCTGTTAGAACAGAAGGTAGTCACTTAAGTAAGTGGTAAAAGGCCAAGAGTTTGGGAATTTTAAGAAAAAATGGATAAAAACTAGAAAAAATAATGCAGAAATTCTGTACTGAGAAGGAGGTAAACTTGAACGATCATTGAGTCTCTCCTGTCTACGATTATTGCAATAAAAACCGGAAAAGCCCTAGTCCTACTACATGAGCATTAACAGTATCAGTTAATGTATTTCTATAGAACAGACTTGAGCCATTCCCATCCATCTTCTCCCTTCCAAGTATGGGTAATTAACTTCTTGAAACTCATTTTTCTCAGTACTTTTTAAACATTCTGCCTGGCTTTACAATTGGTTTTAAATATAAAAGATCAAGCACGCATAAGAGCACTGATCATTAACACCCTTAAACACATGATTTACACTTCCATTTTTATGTAAAAACACATACTTTTCTTTCACTGAGCTTTGTTTGCACAGATTCCCATTTTTCTTTTAAGTTATTTATGTCCTGCTCAACGTTTGTTTCAGTAGTCTCTGGGCATCTTGCAAGCATTTGCTGGCCTTTCTGCATTAGACACTTATATGTCTCCTCTTTGGCTTCAAAGGCAGCACAAAGTTCCTGAATAAAGAAAGCACCAAAAAACAAGTAAGGTAGAAATTCAATACTCTTTCTAAATGCCAGTATACCATTTATTCCTCTCCCAACATTTAGTAGGTATGATTAAGACTAATAAAGGAAACATATGTAATTCATAAAACCCCAAATGAGCAAAGAAAGGGCCCAGTTCTTCAGGAAATGAGAACTTGTATTGTCTGTCAATATCTTCTCTGAGATCCAAAGCTTGGCAAAGAAAGTACTACGCACTTATTACACAAGAGTTGCTACAGCTTGGTTGGTTTAAAGTCCATCTGTAGCCAAAACACAAGAAGTGTCAGTATTACACAGTGTGCTGAAAGCCCAGACCTCCAACATACACCTTCAAAAGTGGGTGGGACAACTTGGGAGGGTTGTTCTATTGTACATTGTCTGTTTTGGCTGTATCCTCCTTCACTTGTTAGGCATGAGCACTGAAGACATTTCAGACATAGAAAACAAGCTGGAATAATAACGGTAACATATGTTTTACCTGTTCACTATTTTACTAATGATGCATTTTTAACCATGTTAAAAGTAAGCTGGCAAAAGTCTGGGACCTCTCATGCCACACTCTCACTCAAATGGGTAAATCCAATATTTCTAACAGACAAACCAAAATGCACAAAGTTGCTGCAGATGCCCAAATGACGACTGTCTTCCAGGAGATGAGGAATAAATAGTTTGCAAATAAGAGGAAAACTACTTTTTCCTCTGATTCCCAGGAGAAAAGCCCAAACCAAACACTTTCTTTGGGTTGAGAGACAAGGTACGTAGGGCTTTACCTGATCAAATAGGAGGGCAAAGCAGGAAGCAGGTTTAATCATGAGCTTAAGATTTTGACAGGACAGAAAGCTTCTTTGCTTTCTTTCTAAGGACTGTGAAAAGTGGTGTCACCTAGTCTGCTTCCTCCTACACTCCCAACCTTCCTAGAATATTTCTGGTTTCCATAACTCCACAGAACATCTTACTGTCCTGCAGCACAAGAACCCCTCAGAAGTAAACACAAGAAGCACAGCACAGGTGAGACAAGGCAAAGCAGGCATAGTTCCAAACACAGGGGCTGGGCTCAGCCTGACACAACGGCCCACTACAGTGGTTAATTTTGCAGTACAGTCACACTCTCCAAAGGGCAGAAGCAATTAAAGTTATTTTCAGGAAGAAACTTAGAACAATGATTGTTTTAAGAAAAGGAGAGGGATGTTCTGAGCAGCACTGGGACAGATAAAAAGGCCTCTTTTTAAGCCCCTTTCCTACTGGTGCCCTGTAACGTCTCTTCATATCTTTTGTTTTCCTGGAGCTGCCTTAGCTGGAAATGAAGCCCAATCTCAACTCCATTTGTGAGCTAATTATGGTTGAAGGATCTTTTATTCATATCCGTAGAAACAGGTCTTATACACAAGAAGATGGTTCATAACTTTATTTCCAAAGAGAAACAAATCAAAACAGTGCAAAACTTCCTCCTTCAGTTTCACGTCAGAAATGGTTTGTATCACTTAGGACCAAGTTTGAATTTGGAACTTATGATGACCAGTAGTCAATATGACACTGGCCTCAACATTTCAGCCACAAAAAAATAAAAGAGGGAGAGAGAACTAACACATATATGCACATAAGGTTTAACTAAAGAAAAATCAAGTTCTTTATTTTAAAGGTTGATAACAGCCAATGCCTGAAGTTATATGATGGCCACCAGTATAGTAACAATCTGTTAAAGTGTTCATGTACAGTTAGGGAAGGATTGTACATCTAAAATACATATTACTGGGGACAGCCAGACTTGGTCCAAATATAATACTACATTCAGTTTAAAGGTCTTTTTAACTAATCAGTCTGTAAGCATTGTAGGTATAGAACATTTGCATAGCAAAAGAATGTAGTAAAGAAAATTCTGAAGCTTTCAATGGAAAAATTTTGGGTCCTGATCTGACTAAGTCCAGGATGAAAAAAGCAAAGAGCTCTGCTGACTTTCAGGGAATTGTAATTGTATCTCACCCTCACAGGGAATAAAAAAAAAAAAGCTCTTTTCTTCCTTTTTTTCCCCTTTAGGACAAAAAGAGAAGGATCAGAGGGGTTCAAAACCACAGGATTATTTCTGTGTTTTGATCTAGCTTCCTGTTATAACTGATTTTAAAACTGTAAATTAAGTTTCTTTCTCAATTATAGTTACTGGCAAATTTTGGCAGAAAAAGAGGAAGGAAAAAAATGTGCCCATGTTGGTGAGCAATGACCTTTAGCATCATTCCAAAATAAAATCTTATTTTTAATGCTTTGACAATGCAGCATTCTAATGGAAACTGTGTCAGGCATATTCGAGTTCAAGGACAGTTCAGTAAATACCACTGTTACATCTGAGCCAGGAGTTCAGAAGTTTAGATCACCAGAAGTTTATATCCTGGTCTAATGGCATAGCATGATTTTACATAAATGGAGCACTATGAACCACCTTCCTTTGGGTTAAGAGATCAAGTTTAAGTGTCTTTTTTTAAGCTCTACGGTTCTATGGGAGCAGAGAAATCCATGGAATGTTTCTTAAAGAGAAAGAAAGGGAATAATTCAGGCATCCTGGTCAGTTTGACATTTCTAGTTAAAGCACAGGTTCTATGAGCCAGTAGCCCTTCTTACTTCTATGCTAATGATGTCAGCTTTGGTTAGGTAAGGAATAAAGGATCAAGTCTCTTAAGTCAAGGTTCAATAAATGTGGGCCGCTTTTAGGTTCATCTTCAAATCTTAGAAAAAGCATTAATTTACTTACGGGGTCAGAAGAGAAAAGAAATCACTGAAAAATCTGCAAACATCTTCTGTTTTTCTTTCCAAGAATAAGGATGCAAAAGCTATTTTATTTGTCTCAACACGATTAATGGTTCAGCTTTGGGCATATGTCCCAATAGACTACTAAACTACACCGGAAATAAGTGCTGTTTTGAATGTTATTAAATTTTTATAAGATACTGTACAGACATGGTGATATATAGAACGTGCTCCATATGTACCAAAAACACTCTTGAAAGATGGTTAGTTCTGAAATACAAATTGCAAAGCATTCTAATACTGATACTTACCATATGTGCATTAAGCTGCTCTCTTGCTGTTTCTGGTAAGCCTCCAACAGGTTTTGATGCCAACAGCTGACGTTCAGTATCTGTCAGCCATTGCTGCAGATCTTCAACTTCACCATGGAAACCTTGCGCCTAAATTACACCATATCATTTTAGACCTCACTTAAAATGTTCTCCATTCTAATACCAGCTTAGGTGCATAAGTAGACTGGCAACAGATTTAATCAGATATTTGTAATAATCAAATGAAATGAAAGGGGAAGAAAAAAAAAGAAAAAAACAGACCAAAATATAAACTAGCTCGATTCAATCTGAAGGAAAAAACCAAAAAACATGGAAATCTTGAAAGCAAGCTAAATGACCTAATGTGAGACCAATGTTTTCCCTGAATAATATACCAATACAGAAATTTCACCCTTTAAAAACATGTAGACCAAAAGCTGAAGTCTTGTTTCAGCAATAAAAGAGACAGAGGCCAGCTGCAGAAGATACAGCTGGATTCAAACTTTCTCCAAATTCAGGAGTGTCTGCATTATGGTTTTGATTTAGGCGAACTTCTAATACGTGTATCAATGTATTTCATGTAAAAAGACACTTTTTCTGAATTATTTCTATATTTGATCATTTCCTGTTCACCTGGATCAAGGCACTGTCCAGCTGCTGTTTCCTTTGTTCTGTTTTTTCCAACAAGTTTTGCCAGCGCTGATTCAGGAGTTCCAACTTGCTCCGTAAATTACTTGCTTCTTCAACAGCACTCGACTCAATCAGGTCATTTCCTGCTTTTTTAACAGCTTCCACGGTAGACTGATGAGCTAAAACATCATTTTGTAGCACCTACAATTGTAACACAGCATGTAAGACTGGCCATGTTGGTAAATTACTGAATGAAGGCAATCACAGTGACTGAACTAGTTGCAGTCCAGTGACAACAGTTTAACATCAGCACAGGTATTAGCACTTAAAGCTAGTAACTAAGGCCTCTTCAATCAAAAGCACTAAAAGGACCATTCTGCCAAAATGCCAAAGTTTATTTTTGTATCTTGGAAAAAATAATATATTCCCTCTGAATACACATGTTTCTGAAATTATCAAAGGTTTCCAGTAGCCCTAGGGAAGAGTTATTTCTTCACTTTTCTTAATTTATGACATACTTTTCTTTAATATGATTTTTCTTTGAATACTATGTGCCCACTGTGCTCTACAGCAACCTGACTGCCACAATATCTTTTTATGCATTTCATGGCTCATTTCACATGAGTCAGGGTACTAGGACACTTGAGCTGTGCTAAAATCTGGGGAATACACCACACGAGCTTTTCCATCTGCTTAAAAGCCCATTATCACCAACCATAGTAAAACCACACAAGGCAAAAAGGACATTTGAGAAACAAATTCTGTTTTCAAAAGGACAGGGGAGGAAAAGAAGGTGTTAATATAGAACAAAAAAGAACAGAAAGAGAAAAATAAATAAGAAAAATGTTTGGGAGGGGAATGGTAAACCCTATCTAAGAAATTCAAGTTCATGACTACTGACTTCTATTGAGACTTACCTCAAATGCTAGCATATGGAAAAAATATAAAGCTAAATACAAAGGAATTGTAAAATAAACTATATACAGCACATAATGAAACAGCAAGTCACAAGTAGCCCTTGAATACAAAACATCCATCACATTTACTTTAAGTCTTTTAAGCTAAGCACTAGAAGATCATTATTATTTTATTCTCCTAATGGTTAAAAAAGGGATATCCACAGAAGCAGATGCATCTTTATCCCTTCCTTCCTGCTGAGACTCACTAAGAACAAGGTCTATTCTTTCCAAAGTTATTCAAGGGATGGATGTTTTTCCAGGCTACCACAGGATGCACTACTGTGTGAACTTTCTAACCTATAAACTCTGTATTATGAAAAGGGAAGTAGATTCATTCATGTGTTTGCTGAAGTTCTTCATCACAGACATAAATGATGTCTGGATGCTTCTTCACTAGTAAAACACTTCCATTAGGTACAAATATAAAAGGTTCATGGAGCAGAACCTGGTTTTGTAATTCTATTTACTTTGTTTTGAAAGGGCCTGTTTGTAACAGTAGTCAAACAGGCCATGTAGATATTGTGCTCCGCTCAAATTCCAACTAACCACACAGAAGCCTTCAGAAGCTGCATAGCTGCATTAACACAGACAATGAAAATACCTTAATTATCTGTGTACTGTCAATTTCAATCAGTTCTTTCAAAATCCAAAATGAACTCTGAATACTTTTCACATCATATGCAGGGCAAAAATTAAATGGCAGATTTAAAAGGAGAGGCTATATGAGGTTAGATTAAAATCTTCAAACCTAGAAAGAATATATCATCATGAACTGCACTGTCACACAAAGAGGTAGGGAAGATTTCTCACTCCTGGGAGATACTCTTCAAAACAAAGAAATAGTGGAAGCATTCTTCCATGGGCTCCAAAGTCACAGTGATGAGTAAAACTACTAAACCAAAAAACTAAAAAGTTAACCCTACATTGTAAGTAACAAAGAAAAAAAGATGAGGGGTTTAGAGATTTTCACAGAAGCATTCTCCGTGTTAGCTGGACCCAACTGACATACAATTCGGCCGAATTCAGAACAACAAATCACTACGTTCTGAGAAGGAAGAAAGAACCAGAGATCTGCAACAGTTGTGCAGTTTGTGAAACCTGGCTTAAACAAAAATAATCAAGGAGTTTATTGCTTCATGGAGAGTAGCAGGTGCAGTAACTTTTGAGTTCCCTAGGTCAACTGAAGGTGATTAGAGGTGGAGACTGGGGTGAGCAGCTCTTTTTTGGCTAAAACCTATGCCACTTGCATAGCATATGCAAGAAAGGAAGGAATGTGGAGGAGTAAGAGGAAAGATACTATTTATTCCAAGCCTGCATTTCAGCTATAATCCACATCGTGGAAATTTATGTAGAGAATTATCAAGTTTTACAAGACTCATCCCGAAGATAAATATCAAAAGAACATTTCAGTTAATATTCATTATAATTACATACATGATGTTTGGCAAGTTCAATTTCAATAGCCTTGGGGTCTCCACCCACGGGTTTCTGTTCATTCAGCAGGTCTTCTGTATGTGTCAGCCATGTCAGTAACTCATCCAGGGCATGCTGGAACTGCCCCAAGGCTAACAAGGCACCTTCCAGCTTGTGCTATAGTAAAAATAAAATTTACCATAAAATAGTTTCACAGTGCTATTGAATTGTCTTATATTACCATTAGTCACCATAATCCAGAGCAGAGTCCATGCATATGATAGCATAAAAACCAGGGAGAAACAGTTATCCAGCGCAAGCAATTGCTTTACAATTAAAGCTGAGTTGGCAATTCCACTGTGAAGCCTTACATTCCAGGCTTAAATTCCTGACATTGGAAGAAGCCATGCAACTAGGGCAGAGTTAACTTTGAAGGTTCTCTCATCAGGTATGTCAGTAGTTTTTCATCACTAAAACATAATTTCAAATATAAATGCAATTCAGTGCATGATCTTTTTAAAATCTTTTCTTTGTCATGGAATGATTCAGTTTAGAAAAAATAGTACACTACAAAGCACTGCATCTTTAAATCTCTCAGTCTGATAATATATGGAAAGAACACTGAAATAGTTAAATATTAAGTTGTTGGGGTTTTTTTCAAGTGCTCAGTTCAGCAGCTAATATTACTTTTGCCCATATAAACATGTTTTCAACTGCTACCAAACAAAATAATAATGATTCAATGGGCACTGCTGATAGAGAATTTAAAAAGGGTTTTTTTAAAAAAAAAACAAAAAAACTCCTCAATGAATTGTAAAATTCAAATTCTATTACATATAGTTCTGTAATTTCCAAACTAAAAGGAATGTGTAAATTAATATAAACATTATACATAAAGATCTTTTTGCAGAAATCTGAGTCATGAATAAAGCCCCCACCTCCAAGCATATTTACCTGTCTACTTATAATTTTTTCTTCTAGACTGTCCCACAATATTTTGAGCTCTGAGAGAGGGTCTTGAACCGTGTGCTTGTCACTCTCCTGTGTTACCTTCTTCAGCAATAGTTCTGCCTGATGGTTTAGTCTTTCCATTTCTATCTGCTGTTGATAAGCTTCTGTCTTAAATTGCTGTGGTAAATAGAAAAAGAATACAAATAAATGTATCACAAGTAATTCTATAATTCTGTGTTCTAGCTCTTGTGACTGTAAGGGGATAATGCTTTAAACTTCAAATGGAATTATTCTTCAAAAGAACTGAAAGCAATTTTCCTTTACTAGAACACCCTCTTGGTACACATAACTTGTGCAGCAGTCTGAATACAACCTGCACACATATGTTTTTCTGAACTACGTAAGGTTATGATTCATTTGAAGTTACACCATAAATGAGATAAAACAACCTACCCACAGCCAACAAAATCTATAAGTGAGCAACAAAACCAAGAACATTCTCTGATCGTTATACATCCCTGATTTTTAAATACAGCATAACAGCCTACTAATGTCAGAGGCATATTCAGTCACAGATCCAGACCCATGCAGATAGGTTTCTAAGTTAGCCTGAAAATTTTATTTTCACCTTACTCATGTACTGGGAATGTCATGACCTGTGTGAGTATTTAGATAAAGCCTATAATGGCAGAAGCAAAGCTTTGGAGGCATTTGCTTAGAGCCTCCAAGAATCTGTTCTCGTTAGAAACCAGAAAATATAAAGGTCATAGCAAAAGAACCCTGTACATAATAACCTTATAGCTTTTGAAAGAGAATGAATGATGCCAAAAGTCTTTCTGGGCTATCAGATTGTATTAAAAAATAAAATGGTATTTTCACCAAAATTTGGAATAGACTTTAAAATTAAGCACATTTTAAAATGAAAAGTTTGCAATGAAATATTTGGAAATTTTCATAGAGATTCTTTTTTAGCAGAAATTGAAAATGAAAATTGCTTTTGACCCTCGAAAAATACTAAACAACACAGATAAATGCAGACAGATGGAAATATAAAAGAAATAAATCACTAGTTCATACCTTAAGTTCCTCAGTTTGCTGCTTCACTGTCTCCAGATCTGTTCCAACTGGGGACATAGACGCTAACTTGCCGCCAGCAATGTCTACCCAGTCAAACAGTGCCTGAAAATCACAGAAGGAAATTCAAGTGTGAGCAGAGAAATACCATCATGTTTGAAAGTTGTATTAAGTAAAATATCAGAACTTTTTTTTTCATTCCAAAGAAGGTATTGCTGTGCTCCTTAAAAGAAAATAACTTTCTCAGCAAAAACGTTTCTTTTGCAATACAACAGAACAAATGTCAAGTATCCATGTAACAATTACAGGAATGTACAAGCTGCAAGACTGAATGTACAAGCTGCTGCTTCTATTAGCAGCAACGTTCTCACAGTATTATTCCCACTGAGTTGCACTCTACTTCTTGTGTAAAATCTGCAATTTTTATGAATAACCCTAGAAGGTAAATACAAGACAACTCTCTTCTACAGTTGTTTGGAGTGAAAAAGGAAGGTGGTAGATAACATGCCTTAAATGAGGATTACAAGCAAACTGTTTTTGAAGAATGTTATTTGTGTAAGAAACATGGAACTACGCATTCAGTATATATTAGGTGGTGAAGGACCATAACTGAGCTAGAATGAATCTCCACAGGATAATGCAGTTATAACTTAAAAAAATAAGTGACATCTCCCCAGTTCTGATGCTTTGTGGCTATTTCTTTTGCTCCTGATACAGTGCAGAACCCCAAGAATATTTCACATAGATTAAGAACAGCTGCATCAATCTGCATAATTGCACAGGATAAAAACCACCTCTGCTAGGCCCTTTTCCTCCTGCCTATTATGTGCAGAGATATCATTATGAAGAAAGGCTTAGGGCAACTTGTTGAACTTGCCCACTGCGACACAGTTCGCTGAGAAAAGGAGAACTACCCCCAACACACTCAACACGATGAGGCAGCTGCAGTTAACAATATGTCCACAATACTTTTCATATTGTCTATTGAAATAAGCGCAAGACAGCACTCAAATTCAGTTCTTGCAAAGTACCAAGCTTGTAGGATGTACAATGTACAGTCAAAGGAAATAGAAAGCACTTAAACCAATGGCTATTTTCCTAATTGTCTAGTCAATCTCTGCACAGTATGAACATGGGAGAACTTGGAGAAAAATACTAAGTGAGGATGCACTGCAAAACAGGCATGTTGCATTATTTTAAGCAGTGTTCTGCTGCTTGATCTGCACCAAATACAGAAGTAACTGCCCTCAGTGTCATGTGAAATTTAATTTTAATGATTTTAATGAACCAAAGAAGACAGTAATTTCACCAAGCAAAAAAAAAAATCAAAAAAACTCCAACAGCTCATAAAGAGAAAAGACATAGAATCAAAGAATAATTTGGGCTGGAAGACCTTTAAAGGTCATCTAGTCCAACTCCCCCTTGTGATTTTTTTTTAAACTTCATCAGTTGTAGGAAGTACAATGTACAAGACATCTTAAGAAAACTGAAAAACTGCTGGAATATGTACCTACAGATTTAAAAACGGAATCATCTTCTAAAGTATTGTGATAGGATAAATTATACTGAGTATAATGGTCCAGCAACATTATGTTAATAATATTTTTTGCCTAAAATATAGAAACTTGACTAGTTGACCTACAAAAGAGGTGGAATAAAATTCAAGTCCTTTAACTGTCCTCCATTAAAAAAAAAAAATAGCAGCAAGCTAGTATATGGACTTGTAATCTGTTCCTCTCAGATCATGAAGATGTGTCACAACTTCAACTTGCATAGCATGTGAAGCACTAACTATCACAAGAAAATGTGAGCAGGATTACTATGAACGTGTACTATCAAAACCCCTCTGTTCTTATCAATAAACAAGGAGACATTAATTTTTAATCTAAACACAGTGCAATATATGGACATGGAAAACACAAACGAAGAAAACACCCCAACAGATTTATTCTTTAATGCAAAACCCTCCCCAACAAAATAACCCCAACCAATCTTGAGAAAAAATACCTGCCTCCTGAAGAAAATAGTCACTACAATCAGAGTGATACATTACTTGTCACCTACCTAATCACATAACATTTTTTACTACAACCACATTAAATTGGTTGACTCAAGACTGGGTTAGGTATATCACATCATCTTACCTGCAGTCCATCTTGGTATTGAACAGCTGCCTGCATAGCTTCAGCAAGCTTATCAACCCGTTCTTTCCATGTTTTGTTTAGGGCATCCCAGGCAGAATTCAGCTGCAAGTAAGTGCAATTTACTCCAATGGACAAAAGAATTTTACCGCTGTATAATAAGCATTTACTAATTCTTCACTGATCAATAACACTAATTAACTAAGCATGAATAGTTTGTATTCATTCCATACTAATGCTCTTGTTCTCCCTATCACTGCATATCTAGTTTCTTTCAGAATTCACTAGAGGTTCTGGATTACAAAAGCTCTGTCAATACTGATTGAATATTTTTATTAACATAGAAATTATAGTTAAGAGAGGAAATACTACTAAATCATTTAGAGTTGCATCATTATAATAAAAGTAGCTTAAAAAAATAATACATTGCAGAACACTAGAAAAATTAAAAGTACTTTGTAGCCATCCAAACAAGATTGTCTCGGTTAAGATATCTCACTGGGCATAAACCAGATATATCCGAAATTTATTCTAGCATTACTTTTGCAAGAAGTAGTCATCTACCATATTAATCAGTGAGTATTTAAAAAAAAAACTTTCACAAAAAATCAATGTCTGTCTTTTACTAAAAATCAATGAAATAAAACAGTCCATACATTCTAATCTAATCTAAGATTCATTTACTCAAAAGGCAAACCTTACTTTACCATAAGAGCTTCAGGGTGTCTCACTTTTGCCACAAAATTTTTATTTTCAAAATTTGTTGGGGGCATGGGGAATATACCAATTTCAGCTGAACGAGCATCTCATGTAACAGACCTAAGCACATGCATTTCCCATACCTCATCTATACTCTTGTTTACAATAGGTTTGTCAGGCTCTCCACAAGCAGCTCTAAGTTCAGAGCCAAGGCTCACAACTGCTTCTAGTTCTTCTTGTAGTCCATCAATTTCTTCTTTAGCAGCCTACAAAGAGAAAAAAATCCAACACTGTTATTACTAAATTTAATATTCTATGTACAAATTGCTTTCAAGATGAAACACAGCACAATTCCACCTTTGTTTTCTTTCAGGTCACTTGGACTTAAGTTGGATGCTTAAAATACAAGAATTCCTTTGCAGTATCAGAGTGAAATCAGCTGACATCAGTCTAAATTGTAACAATGGCTTATGATATCATTTTGCAGGAGATGGAAAAAATAAACAGGAAGTTTTAAATTAGATTTCTTTAATCAGAGTGTCTTCTTTGTCAGAGGTTATCATTCAACCTTTAAATCTTTAACTATCAGCATAAGTAATTACAGGCTTAGAGGATAATTCACAGAGCATAATACATTTGTACACCTTTCATTTAGATGTTACATAGTACTCAAGGAATCTAAAGTATGTATAACTTTTAAGAGTCTTGGTGACATGGTTATTATACATATGTTTATAAACAAATAAGGAAATATAATAGCAAGCACATGTTGCATGCTTATTGCTATTAAGCACTGATACATGTTATTTACTGTAGACTCTTGAGATACCATTATTGTAAATTTCTACACAATTATCCCTCTTGGTCTCTAACAAATAATATATCTTCCTGTGGTATTTCATAGTAATTCTGTTTTTCATCTGCATACCATAAAATACTTCAAATGAACAAATTACTTTCTACTGACCTCTGCAGCTTCTTGCTGTTGCTTGACTACAGATGGGTCAACTCCAGGTCCCTCCAGTTCTCGAATAAAGTCCTGAGTATCTTTAATAGTAGCTACAAGAGCCATATGATCACACCAAAACTTTTCAGCTAGTTCCATTACATCCAACAGTTTGGTCTCCCTTTCCTCAGTCAAAGTCTGGATGTCTTCCCAAACTAGGACCATTTGGTCCAGTTTATCTTGAACAGCTAAACAACAAAGGAACTAGATTACTACCTTGGCAAACAATTCTTGGTCATAAATCTCTCTCTAGTTCTACAGCAGAAACATATGTGCACATTTTTAAATTTAGACTCTAAAATTGTTTCTTTATAGGACTCCTTATAACATTAAGTGGAAACAAACACTATGGCCTTTAAAAATAAAACGAAGGTCATATCCACAATTAATTATTTTAAATGAATGCTTTGCTTTTATAAATCTTTAGCAGTTTCTCCAGAAGAACACATTCCCCAGATTAGTGGTCATCAGAAATGAAGAATTTTATATGCTGCAGCTTACTGCATTTCCACTACATGAAAGTTTCCTCAGTCTACTACCTTTAGCAGATATATCCTTATCAGTGCCTTCTGAGCGAGCAATCATTTCCTCCCCTCTCTGTTTAAGTGTCTCATACACTGGCTGAAGTTTTTCCAGATCCACAGATACATTCTTATTTTCACTGATTTGCTCTTTAATCTTCTCAACCTCTGCTGAGATTGAAGGTGGCTGCCTCAGACGTTCAGCTATGCGTTTCAGACTCTCAAGAGTTGGATCTATCTTGTCATGAAACTGGGAGGGGGGAAAGGACAGAAAGAAGTGGAAGAGAAGTTAGAAAAAAACCCTCCAAACACAAAAAATGGCATCTGAAATTCTCTTGGAAAAAGGTGCTTTAAAATTATCATCTCTATCAAACATATATATGTGCAACTTGCAATGCCCCCCTCCTGGCTCTTTTAATATCTAAATTGCAAAAATAACCTTGCAAAATGGTACCTCCTGTCAAATTTAAGAATTTTACTATTAAGTTGGTGTTCAGTCCTGAGACACTTCCTCTGAACTACAGCAGAATCTACTTGCACTTAGTCCTGTGTAATTCATAAAGTAGTGGTAGCTTATTTTAGGGAGAAATGGCTTTCTGATTTCATCATTTAGAAAGATATTTACCTTACAATTAAATACATACATTTTCCTGTTACAACCAACATACTATCGATTAGGGCTCGATATGTGAGGTCATTCAAAAAGACATTTCTCAGTGGTCAGGTAGTGTTTGCTCGTGCAGTAAAGGTATGTTACCTTCTGAAACTAAAAGCACACAATAGTGTATATAGTATATTCATCCATGTTTGACTGAGCCCAGGTAGGTGCTCAGAAACAGAATTACAGCTGTGTTAATATGGTTCAAACTTTGGCATAGGTCCAAAGCTAGCCTTTACTAATATGCTTTTGGATTCACAGAGATTCCTAAAATCTCACACCACCATGCCCCTTTTCAAATTAAAGAAATCCATAAACTGCGGGTGCATTTAATGACCCTCCAGGATCTACAAAAAGCACTCCTGACAACACTTGGGAAAGGTGCTAGAAAGAGCACAGCAAAACAAGATTACCTTATCTGAACAAATAGCTACATCCCTTCTATTCAAAGGAACATAGACAATATAAATGTAATTACTTTTTCCCACCACACAACCCACTTCAAATCAGACTCTGTGACTAATGTTATGGCACTCAGTGTTTTTGTTAGAAGTGTGAATGTCATACAAGCCAGCAAAATGTGTTATGAAAGATAAGTAGCCTTCCCACATTCAAGACTTCTGAAAAACTGATTGTGGCAACAAAACCTTACAAAAATTATAAAAACTGAAATTAAATTGGCAATATTTAGGTCTAATTTTGGGACATATATTACATTTTTAAGTTGTCAGTGCATTCAGTGGCCCTCCTTGTACTCAAGCTCAATGAAATAGACAGTGTTTTAGAACTTAAAAGGAAGAAAATACAAGTAATGACAATCTCTCATTCTACCTCAATATGTTATGCCCTTCTGTTGATACATAATGCAATTTAATATAATTTAAAACCTGAAGAGTTAAATAATTATTTTTCAAGGAATGTCTAGACAAACATTGACATAGACATCATAGTACAGAGTTGTGATAATATATATTTATGTAGCTTAATAAAAAAAGATTATATATAATTACATTCTGTAGACATTACAATGTTTTGCTTTGCCATTTCCATATACATTTAGGTATATAAAATGAACCATAAAGTACTGCATAAATAATTAAGTATTTTCACAACATCTGATTATATTTTAGGTGTTACCAAAGAATGCATTTCTAATTCTTGCTTTCTGTACTTAGCCAGTACAATATGTTGATGTCTATCACATACAAAACAGGGACTCGAATACTAAGTAAATATCTTGATTTTCAAATAGGCAGCTCCAAATATGGGGAGGACCAAGCATTTCTGACATAGAAAAACACAGGATCTAAATAATCAGGCATCTTTCAGAGGTATGAATAAGGGTTGTTTAAAATGTATATACATTTTATATATATATATATACATATATGTGTATATATACATATGTTATATACATATAACCAGTTCAAAAGCAGGATGACATCCATGTCACTTAATTTTGCCTCACATTCTTAAACTCAGTCTTCAGGGGCTAGGAATATGACATTAAGTATAACGACCTGACAAAAATTATTTACAATGTAGATTCAATAAGCACTTTGAGGTGTATTTTTTTATTTAGTATTTAAGATCTTAACAGAATATAGCACTTAATTTCCAGTGAACAGGGAAAAAAGGGGAATTTCCTATAAAAACACTAGTATAAAACAAAGTATTTTTATTCAGGTTTTTGTATGGGTTTATGTACAAAGTTTACCAAGTTTTTTTCTGAAATTTGGGGTTGAGTAAAAGAAGTTCAGTGTGGATTTAATGGCAATTAACCCAATATTTAACAGTAGCTAGAGTGCAACACCTGACAATCCTCTATTTAGGTTCATTTCATAGGCTGGTGAAGCTATGAAATGAAGATGCTGCATTTGTGGACCTGACCGGAATTTTATGCTGCTGATGTTTTGTGAAGTCTGACTTTGCTCGTAATACTTTTCTGTAACAGTTTCAGTATATATTACATTAAGTTCTTTTGGGTCTGCAGTGAAGAGCATATGCTATTTACACTGCTAAACTACTCTCTAGTTCCACTGGTAACTCTCTGCTAACTTCAGCTGCCAATTTCTAGAAATAACTACACTCAAATTAACTGATCAAAAGTGACATTCATTTAAAAATTAAGCATCAGCTACTAACAGACCAGTAAGAGAACACAAAAGCGAAAATAAAATCCCACATTTTTAGACTTCTTGATTTTTTACTTCAAAATTAAGTAGCAATAACATTTTTCAGTTGCTACAAAGTCATAATACTGACCAATATATAAAATTATAACCTCTCAAGAAATAGAAAAATCAATGCCATTAGCTGTGATATGAACATTCGCAGGCCATTAGGTTGAAAAATCCAGGTGAAGCAGCAGTTTAGTCTTGATATATACATATAAAATGACAATGTGTATTTTTCCATTGAATGAACCCAATTATATTTTAAACTTAAATTGATACCTGGGTACACTGAGAAATGGCTTCATCCAGTGCCAGTGCTCGCTTTTTGACATCTTCCTTGATTTTACTGTAAAGGATGTCAGCTGCCACATATTTCTCTTGGATAGAAAAACCTTCTCCTGGGCTCAGCTCCAGCAACTGAGGCCCAGTTTTGTTCATCTTATCTATATGAGGCTTGTGCTCAGCGATCAGCTCACGCAGTTGCTATAACAAATGAAACAACTTATCAGTTTCTTATGCTTGCACCACCACATTACAACTGTCCACACTTCCAACACGTCCAGCTGGCAAGAAATTCTAAACAAATACCCTTCATCCTAATATAAAGCAGAAATAAAGTTAATGATTGCTTTGCCAGTGATCATTCCCATTCCACAGAGAGCTATCCAGGCATAAAACATCAGAATTAGAGACACCCTGGAAATGCCTGTGCAACACTCTGGGAGGACATATGATTACAGGTAAAATATAAGATGCTAACTATGCATATGATGCTAACAACAGACAGTCCTCATCATATTTAGTACCTATAATAACAGAAATGGCAACAATATTCCAGACATGGGCGTAACACCACCACATGTATACTTTTCATGTTGATACTGGTCACTTGCTGCAAAGCCTTTCATTGAGGAACATCACAGAAAGAGGTACTGGCATTGCAAGAAAATTAATTCAAATTATCCTTGATTTAAGAAGAGGAAACCAGCACATCGGAGAGTCAAAGAAATAAGTGAAAGGACAAAAGGACATGGAAGGGTGATCAGTAGAGGCTTATCAACCTAGTTTAGCAGTCTCTGGCCACAAGACCCCTCTGTCTTCATAACAGCACTATAATTCTACTGACACGATGTTTAACAAGTAATTAGTAAGTGAATTAAATTTGACCTCATCTGTCTACTGCCTCTCATCATCCACCCCTGAAGTTAAAACTGTGCCAAAGATTGAGCAGAGGCTTGTGGAAGCGAAATGTCATAATGTGTCTTCCAACTTGTCTAAGGGTTTCAGATTTTCTTCCTTGTGCCCATAGAACTGACAAAAGGGAAAGAGTTTCTTGTGGGAATAGCCCCATCCTTCCCTCATTTTATTTACTTTCTCATATTTTACCTCCCTTTTCAGAAAAATCCACTGTCTTGCGAGGGACTGTCTCTCTCAGTGCCGTGAACTTCATGTGTTCTATCCTATAGCCCCTGCACAGGGACATGAGAGGCACATGCGCTGTTCCTCCCAGCTGAGAGTTTGTTTAAATTAATGAAGACACAGAAAAGGGCCTATATCAGTCTCAGTGTAAATAAATTCTCTTCTCTTCAACTACGGTCCTTCCCTTAAAAAGAAATCCTGATACTGGCTTGCTTCCTTGCTCCTCCCCAGAAGAGCAGAGGTTGAGAAGACTGAAAAGACAGTGACCACAACTCTTCACAGTCCAAACAGCAATGAAAATATAACCCTCCCTTGATTCTAACTACTTACTTTGAATGTAACTCTATTTGTATACCTTGCCACAAGAAAAATAATGTTGATTAGCAGAGAAGAGGAAAAGGAGAAACTAAGAATAGTTTTAAAGCTTTTAGAAAATAATTGCATGTGTTTCACTTTTGAGCACAGAGATGATTTGACACAAGGCCACAGGAGTGGACATTTCTGGATCCAAACCTTATGCTAATACTCTGCCCACAGCTCATTTCAAACCAAACCCACTGCATGTTACTCGCACAGAATTAAGTCTGTGAATTTCACAACTTGGAACAAAGACAGTCATCAGTAAATACATCAGAACAGAAAAGTTGTCAATTCACACTGAAAACGACCTTTTTCCCTTCTTCTTCTTTTTAACAGAACAATGAATGATTTGGTCTTCTCCATGATCTACTATTGGGTAAACAATTCCAGTAAACAAGTGTTTAGGAGCAGATTACATGTTAAGAGGGCCTAACATTAATCTTCTAGTTAACAAACAAATCTCAGCTAATGGCATAGCCCGGGGAAAACGCAAAAATAGAAGCTCATCTGAAAGGCCTCTCATGGAAGCAGCACGATTAAAGTAGATGAGGAACAATCCTGCAAGTAAAGCAAGCATGATATGGTCCGTGGTGACTAATCAAGATAGCTTGTAAAGCTCATGTTATATAGCTAGTCTTAACAGAACTTGTTTGTTCATTCTGGACATAATAGGAAGACAAATGAGTGAACCCAGTGTTTACCAGTACATAAGAGTGGCACATTTCATCAGCTGGTCTCAGAGTAAACAAGACTCTGAAGCCAGCGTTCATCCTATCTAACTTGAGTCACTTAATTGAGGCAGCTAAAATAATCAAAGAAAAACTACGCTAGCAGGGAGAGACAGGTATCTCCAATGGCCATACAGATTTTGCATCTGCCAAAACATGCAGGATTTTAACCTCAGTGGGATACATCTGATTCCGTGTGATAGTAGTAGTCACTGTTAAGATATACTAATTTTTATCCCAGTTGATTGTATATCCATGTAAGAGAGCCCACACAGTGGCCAGTCTACAACACTGTTGCCTCTATTTTGTGATGTTATGGTAAACAATTATTTGTTTTAATTAGTACATAACAAACATTCTTGACATTAGAAATTATTTGGCTGGATCCAAGCAAGCAATTTTTGGCTCTCTAATTGTCCATCTTCCTGACTCAGGTAAGTGTAGTTTCAATGTTACAAACAAAATAAAAGCTAAATTTTTTATATGTGCATAAGATCAACACGTGCATATCTGTATACAGACTGTACCCCCTTTTTGTTTCTTGCTCCAACAACTCATGCCTGTTCTTTTTGTTTATGAGTTTGGTTTGTTCCAATACTAACATTAATGTGTACTTTTAAATATACTTCTTAACTAATAACTTACGTGCTCAGTTCTCTCAGTACAATGGTAATTTTTTTCTCCTTTAGCCTTCTTTTATGCTTATACATCATTTGCTGCCTTCTCCAGAGACTCTTGTTTACTTTGTATTATTATTTTAAATAATAGTGTTTTTTCAACAGAAGAATATCTGTTTGGTTTTTGAAGCATTTTGCAGAGTACTCCACAGTTTTAGCAAAATACTTCCTGGGTTTTGACTCTTCATTTTTCAAAACTGGCAAAATGCTTACCCTGTGTTCTTCTTGTTGTTGCTTTAAAGTTTCATATTCAAGGGCTGGTGCAGGAAGCTGAGAGATGATCATTTCTGTTTCAGTTAACCATGGCCAAAGTTCTTCATAAGTCTCCCAGAACTGGTTAACCAGGGACTGAGCCCGTTCCAGCTGAAGGTTTCTCTCTGAGTTCATTTGACAGACTGCATCATATTTCTGTAAGAGGCTTTCCATTTTTTTCTGTAAAGTAATATTAATAAAAAAACCCAATGTATGTTTTTCCATGTGTCCACTACCTTAATTTCTAAACAGTCTTTGATAATTATAGCACCAATTCACAGTGAACCAAATTTTAGTTTTGATAATGTTTTTACAGTATCGGTGTTTAAAGTGGACAGAATCAATAATGTGGCAGATCAGAATTTGGCAGAGTACTTGCAAAGTATTTAGAATATATTTAATGATACTGTAATTCACAAATAATACTTCACTCATAGGGCTTCCAGTCAAGCTGCAAATGATCTGACTGCAGATCTTAACCCCACTTCCTTACTGCAGATGCTTATATTCAGTGACACTTGGCAGAAATTAAGTTTTCCACAGCATTTCTGAATCAAAGCAGTATGAACAATACACAAAATCTGTTGGGTTGTTGGGTTTGGGGCTCCTTTTTTAATCTGGCAAGAGAATAGTTTATACTGTTGTGCTTGTAGTTCACAAACTTACAAAAGCAACCATAAAACATTATTTTCGAGGTTAGCATATATTACTTAATGAGAATGTATTAACATTAATAACATAGATAACAGCAATAGAACTATAAGGTTTAAACATTACAAATCTACTGTATTTGGGCATGTGATAATAAAAGAAAGTATCAACTAGCCATACATTTTTCCTGTGGAAGACTGCCCATGTTATCAAGTTTATGAAATATTATATATATGACAATGCTTATAAATCCTTGCCTTGATAAAACTAGACATATAAGCAAGCCTTTGAATTTTTTTTTGGCTGAACAAGCTATTCTTTCCTTTATTATGTCTTGCACATAAATTAAAGAGATGCTATCCAGAGGATAAAATCTAGTCTATTACACAGATATACAGTATTTTTGACAAATAAAACTATTTAATAGAGACTCCCACAAAACTGCTCTCCCTTATGACTACAGTTTCATAGACAGAACTTCTCATCTATTTTAAATTCACTTAGGAGCAAATCAAATTTATTCAGAGTTCTTGCAGCAGAGAACAATTACTGAAGCATTACTGTTCAAGGAGGGTGGTCATCGGAAGGACTAAATTTACACAACATATCCAGCCTCACCGTAATTTAGCAAAGAAATCCCAACTACACAACTAATCCTTCTTAAAGCCAACAGCCAACACAAAAAAATCCATCTGTACATGTTTGCAGCCCCAACATTAGGCTCTGTGTGTGTGTGTAATAAACAAAGGCATAAGAATGCCTTTCATGGGCTGTGACAGTCAACAGGATAGAATAATCTTGGCAAGCGAGGCCTATACGGAAATCAGCAGAAATGAAAGTAAAAATTCACACCGAGGTGCACAGCCATTGAATTCGGCACAGAAATGCACACACCCAGAGCGTCACTGACCTAAAAGAATTCAGAAGATAAACAGCCAGATTCCACACACCATCCCAGATGACTAATACCTCTTCACTCAATCATCTATAGGCTAAAATACTATTTACCACAGATGTCTAAGATGATAAATGGGGCTACAAATTAGTGTCAGGCAATGAAGCAAGTACACAGTGTTTGCTCTTTGAACACCCTGAAGGAAGGAGAGGGATACCCAGCACCATTTTCTCTAGTACTACAATCCTCTGACTAGAAGTGATTGTAATTAATGCTTTCTCATTAGTATTTCAAACAAGACACTACAGGAATACTTCTACTTGTATATTGTCTGCATATCTACCACTGTAGCTGCAATTTAAGGAATTTTACCTTCATCATCTGTTTCTCTTCTTCAGTGCATGTTTTCATAATCTTATCCCCAGATTTAACAAGTTCATCTATGGTATCTTTGTGCCTTAGAATCTCCATGGTAAAAGCCTTGAAACACAAGAAAAAATGGTTAGAATAAAAAAAAAAGTATATGGAGCAAAAACTGGGTTTTGAAGTTCATTAATTATGATAGACTGAAAATTAAATCATGCCAGTACATTTTTCTAGATGGAGAGTGTGCCGGCCAATAATTAACATGACAGTTGGAAACGCATTTCTTTTACCTTTTGAACTTGCAGCTGAGCCGTGGTCTGGTCTTGCTCAAGTCTAATATCACCCAGAGACATCAGTTTCTTTTCTGTTTCTGCAATCCAGGCAAATTCAGCATCAGCTGCTTGATCAAACTAAATGAGGGAGACATGAATTAGTTCAGCAGTTCCATAGACATGAAATTAGAATAACTGTTTCAAAAATTTTAAAGAAGACTAGAGAGTATACTTTTGAATTGTTAGAAAGATAGTGGCTCACTTTACATTTGAGGTTTTTATATAATGAAATACAAAGCTCAAAATGGTTCTAAGGGATTGTAATACAAGCATCTTAATTCATTAGAATGACAAAGCAACAGAAGCAAATACTTATTTCCAAAGCCTACAGCTCTCCAGCAGTCATAAGAAAATAAAAAAGGGTTATAATCTCAGAATTTTAACTAGACTGTTTATTTTCATTTTATTCTACTTTCACATGTCTTTTCCATCTCTCTGTTTATTATTATTGCTAGTGTTGCAATTATCCTGAGACACAGATATTTGATGTTACCCTACTAATCTGAAGAGCTGCTTTGGTATTAAATGATCAAGGCAAAACAATCCCAGTTCAACTAAGTCAGGGCAAAAAACTCACTGAATTCAGAGAAGGCAGGACTTCATCCAAAAGTAGACCTCAGATTAAATGCAAAAATTTTTTGTGAGCATTTAGGTGCAGCCCGTCCTTTCCTAAATGATTAATTTCTGACTACAATTACTCAACAATTCAGAAATTACGTCAAAGCACTAACATAATCAGAGGACTTAAAGAACCTGTTTCTTACTAATTGGTAAAGAAGAGCATGAAGGAGAGTGTGTGGGGATCTAAGTCTTCTGAAATCTAAGACCACATTAAAAAAAAAAAATAAATCACGCATTCTCTCTTCAGATCAAGTTTATAGGCATGCATCTTAGCATACAGATGTTGCAGCTCAACCAGGGCAGCTTTGAGCCTAAGCCATAGAGAAATATTACATGGATGTATCAGATGCGCAATGTAGAAACTACTAAGAATTTATCTTTTGAATTAGTTAAAACTCTGACCCCCACCGAAATTAGCTGACATTAATATGGCCCTGAGTTACTGTAAAAGTCTATCAGGACATTTTAGGTCAGAAGCTGCTACTTGTGTTTGATACCGACACTTTCCTCAGAAGTCTCTTTCTGAACACTCTGAGTTGCACTTGTCTTGAAATATGCTGGTCTTGTGGCTGTAGACTATGACAGCCTTACTCCTTAACATAGCTGGAGTTCACTTTAGTCACTAAATCAGACTTGTCTTAGTAGTTAAACATGAGTTCCACAAAAACAAAAGAAGCGGTTCTGAGATTTCATTCTTTATGAGTCAATCTTTTTCAGCCTTTATAATCCATTTGTTACATGAAAGAGCACAACATTCTTTTTCACTATACGTCATTTGTCATTTAAAGTAAGAGAAAGTAAGTTTTGTCCTAAATATTGTGACTTCCTAATATATGTATGTTCTGAAACAATCAGTACTATAAACATCAGCATGAAGCACATGTACCAGTGGTAGTTAAAGCCTGGTTTTAGAAACTAGAGTACATAACCAAGCTCTTCAGAAGTCCATCTATTTATGACATAAATGTGGAAGGTAATTTCAGTTGTGTTAGATGTACAAACTAACTGCAGTGTGACTACCTGGTACACAATATTCATGGGTATGTAAGTAATATTGGAAAATATTTAACGGAAATAACAAAATCAAGGCATGACAGTGAAACTTCTAGGTTAAATAGAACCAAGAAGACACAGAACTCTAAACTCAGTTTTCTAAGGGTAATTTGTAATGCTTAAAAACAACATTAAGGAATAAAAAGCATAAAATTGGTACTCTCTGAACCCAAAATTTGAAATGTTTTCTTCCCCTTATGCATGACAGTTACTTATAAGCCCTTCAGTCACTATGAAATGATTTACTTAATCCCATCCAGTCTAACCAAGCATAGTTCATTGTGGTACTTTTTCTTCCAATGAGGAATGACTGACTTCTGAATGTGATGATGCTGTGATTTGCTCCATGAATGCTTTCTAAAGCACTCTCCATGACTGCTTTAGAGTGAAGAACAAGTAAGCCAAAAGTAGAATATGACCTTGTGTTTCTACATAGCACTCCTTCACTAGGGGATCCCAACCAATGCTTTCAGTATTGAGAAATGAAGATTAAACCATGTAGCTAAATTTCTGCCTAAGATAAATCTATCCATCTGTAAGCATTTTGGTCAGGTAGTTAAAACCCAGGATATTGCATTAGTTCTATTAAGCCTTCCAGCTTCCATTCACAACATGAAGCACTATTAACCATCCATATAGCCTACCATATTTCTCACCTTGGGCCAGTAACATCTAGCACAAAGCCCACACTACTCCTATTAAACCCTCATGCTCTTAGCAGCTTTGCCCTCCACCCAAAACTTCTTAATAGTATAGGCACTTGAACAAGTTGCACAGATCAAGTTTACAAAAACACTAGCTTGTCCAAAAATGCTTTTTATTTTGCATGATCTAAATGGAAAGTAGCTTATCCTTCACAGGAAGCGCACTAAGCCACCTGATACTTATTACAGGATATAGTGTATAGGAGTTTATTGTGGTGATGTGAGTTGGCTGAAGTGGAAGTTAGGGGTATGCAGGATGAGGGTGCAATGTGCCCTTGGAACACTAGCTAGTGGAATAGCAGCTCTGGGTTTTTCATGCCTGGACCTGAAATTGCTGAACTTGTGCTAGAGGATGCTACATACTGATGGAATTCAAAAAATCTTAAGGAGAGCCAAAATATACTCTCCTATCTCACCCTTATCCCTCACTAAAAAAGAAAAAAAAATCACCCTTCATTTTTGAGGATTTGGTTAGTGAGACAAGATAATATTCATAGCAAACCCCTTAAAAAGAAACAAGAAGTTATTTTTAACCTCAGTTAGAAGAAAATCTGAATTACTGCCAGTGTCTTTTAGTCGGCTTTCGGCAAACATTGAGATTATCACACATGCTTTCTCCATGTCCTGTTACAACTGTTTATGGGAACTATTAGCAGAAATAGAAATCTCCAGCAACATTTTTATGCCTGAACTGTAGGCAGACACTGGAAAACGATACATTTATAAGCAGGCTTAAATATGAGATTATTTAGTGATGAAATTAGAGCTCAGTTCCCAAAGTGAGAGTCTCTGTGCATGTACAGAAACCTCCACATATTAAATAACTCAGTTTTTGAGCACCAAGAAAAAAAGCACTGTAGACAGGAATAAAAGCAATTGTTATATAAATCCTCCACTACAGTTTGAATAAGATAATCCAGCTTTTAACTGTGTAAAGTGCAGCGGAGCTAGACAATCAGCTGATGCTAAAAGGTGTGGCAAGACTAGAGATATCAGTGTTGCATCCAGTAAAGTTGGCTCAGGATCTGGACCATATTTTACTTAACATAACATGATTTACAAAAGATGTGGGCCATTCCGTTCTTAATTAAACAAACTCCCACTCAAGAAGCCACAAGATCGATAGAGCAATTTTCGCTAAAATACTGATGTTTGCACCAACAAAGAGGTAGACAACTACAACAGTGTACAGATTGACAGAGTTCTGGTATTCATATCTTAACAATGGAGTCCCATTTCATTCAAATGGGCCTTTTGCTGTTCAAGCATAACAAGTTTTGGCAACATTATTAAAGGACATCTTTCATTCAGGTACCCATGGTCAGAGACTGTTACAGCCCAAAGAACAGTTTTCCGTACCTGCTGGGATCTCAGGATGGCAGCATCAATCTCATCCACCTTCTGAGAGATCGTGTCACTCACTAATCTGTAACGTTCATTGTCCTCTGTTATCATCTTGTCAAGCCCCTCTCTGGCCCTCCATGGCACCAGTTCCAGGAAGGCACTGCCAACTTCATTCAGAGTGTCCAGTAAGCCTTTGTTGTTCTTTGCTTCTTTTTTCAGCTCCTGAAAAAGGCCATTTAAAACAATTAAACCATTTCAACATGGCAGTATATGAACGGAATATACACAGTTTGCACGTGTTTTCATTCTATCAGCTCTGAGTCAAGAACTGAAATGTTTTACACACAAACCAAAGGGATAAATTACCATACTTATTTTTGGCTGAGCTGTATTAGCTTTTTGATACTGTAAGTTGTTTGACAGAAAGGTGGGTGCTTCTTAATGAGAATTTTCAACAGAATCTATCCTAAATGTATTTGTCCAGTCAGTAAGACTGTATGAAATTCTTTGTAATTTTGTAAGAGTTGTTAGTACTTCATGAAGCAACCAAAGAAAGTAAAACTAATGGATGGTTGCAAACTGCAACTCCATAATGAAGTAAATCACCAGCAAGTGAAATCAGCATGCATTATAGCAAAATATGATGAATTCAAGTAATTTCTTAAATGAACAATGACTGGATCAAATTCCAAGTACATATTTACACAAAGGAATGAGTCTTTACCTGTACAGAACCCTCCCCACTGTGGTTTCATTTCTTATATATATAAAAAGAAATATAATGGATTTTTTTTTAAGCTTCCCCTCCTCAACATTTTCCATACTATGTAGCTTATATTACATTTTTTCTTTTTCAACAAATCTAGTTTAACAAAATCAGTAATATATTTAAAATGCTGACTTTTTTTATACTTTACAGAATTTTATCCATGCCACAGCTAAAGAACCAAAATAACTCATAAGCTGGCAAACAAAGTTTTCCCAGTATTAGGCAGCTCCTTGAAAAAAACAGAAATGTTGTACTTCTCTTGTGCTAAAAGTAAACCTCAGCCCAATTTCATAAGTGATTACAACAGATGACTCTGGAAAGGGAGTATGATTGTTAACTACTGCAGTGTTTAGTGAAATGATCTGATACCAGAATCAGTTATTCAAAAAACAACTTTATGTCTAACATAAGTTAACACATAACCTTGCTGAACCACAGAGCAATAAATATTACACAGATTCTAAAACCTACTTTTTGTCTTTCTTGTACTTGGCTTAATTCTTCACCCTTGGGTATTTGAGTTTCATAGGAGAGTAACTCCACCTCTACTTCATCAAGCCATTTGCTGAGTTGCTCATGAGTTGAGTGCAGTTGACCTGCAAGCTGCAGAGCCTGCTCCAAAGTCTTGGATACATCAGAACTCAATTTCATAATGTCTTTGTACCTCGCTTTAATGCCTTCCAGTTTATCTTGAACTATGACCACTTCATCACCTAAAATATGAGAGGGATGTTATTTCCCATGATCACAAATATTAAAAAGAAAACAAAAAAGAAAACAAAAAAGGCACCAAATCCCAAACCCCACATATTACAAACTCCTCAGTATTTAACTTATAAAATAACCCAAACAACACAAGGTCGATCCTCAACTCTTTTAAATTACCCTACCATCATTAAAGTCCACAGAGCTACAAAGTTTACTTCAGTTCAGGATTTGTCCTTCTGTCTTTCTTCTGCTTTACTAAACTTATTAGAAAGTAAGGAGTTAGATCCAATATTTAAAACAAATGCTAGTTAAAAAAATTCCCCCTTAAATTCACAATACTTCTTATAAAAGACAAAAAAACCTTTTAAAAGGGGTATTGAAAATGCAAAGAACAAAAAAAACACATAGACTTTCAATTTCAGTAATATTTGACATCACCATACACCCTCCTTACTGTGCATTTGAAGCACAGATCAAAAGGCTAAAAGAAAAACCAATGTACTGAAATTTATTAGCCTATGTTCAGATGTCATTATAGAATATGCATAATGTCTAAGTTTGGACATATATATACAAACATATGTATATCTCAAAGAGTTCAAGAACTTTAGAAGTACAGGAAAATCTGGACAGATGTTGATCTACAAACCGACACGTATAGAACTGGAATGCAACTTTTCCCACAGTGTTAGCTCCAGTGGACAAAGCTTCCCTCTTGCACTAAAAGGTAGTTTAGTATCTCGTTCATCTGTGAATGCCTGCAGGGAACTGACTGCATCCACTGCCAAACAGCCTTCCATTATGAGTAATGCCCATAGCTTGCTATTAGGAATGGAATGCAGGTTCACTAGAATAATTTTCCACTAAAAATAAAAAAGGATTCAATGACAAAATTCTCTACACGCAAAAAAGGACTTTTGCTCACTTACATTAGTGAACAATTAGCCCCAAAACATGCCCTAGCTTGACCTCAAACCTTTATTAAAATAAACAACTATAATTGCTTTAACCAGTAAATATGAACAATATTTACAAGTTTCACCTTAATTTTCTCTTAAGGACCTGCAAGTACAAGGGAAAAAAAGTATGACAAATCATAGTTTTATGTAAGTTCTCACCTGTTGTTTGCTTGAGAAGTTCTAAGCCATTTTGTATAGCCAAATCAACATTTTGTTTCCTAAGAAGAATCTCTTCCTGAAGATCCTATGACAAAAGGCCATTTGTGTTAGCACAGACATAACAAAATATTCTTTTTTGGAATAAGGATATTGACATTTTAAATCAAATACATTAATGAAAATAAATGAAGTATGAGAATATAAATAAAATTTAAAAAATAATTAAATAATAAATGAACAGAAATCAAAATACCAGTAGTTCAGTGTGCTGTTTCTCAAGCAATTCTGTGCTGCAGTCTTGGACTGACAATCTGTTCAGTTTATCATGGATTTCATTCAGCCAGTTCATCAATTCAACTTCATCCTCCCCAAAAATCTGAGCATTGCTGTAAGCTTGCTGGAGAAGTTCAGACCTGCTGTTGCTCTTCTCTTGAATTTCAATGAATCGTGCCTGAGAAGAATCTAGCTTTTCCTGCACCATATCTTTATCTTCCCTGGAGCTCATAGTCTTTAGAGACTGACCAGCACTAATGGCCTGATGTAAACTCTTATTGTGAGCTAGGACATCATCTTCTAGGGCCTATATTTTATTTTAAATAATGAAAAATAATGGAAAACAAAATGAGAAAAACATAAAAGAAATGTGAGTGGAACTCAATAAAAAATGAATGAAAAAGGACATATTGCCAACATAAATATGTAAAACTGAAACTACAGGGAAAAAAACCAAACCAAACAAAATCCAGTATGGTAAAACACCGGTATTCTGCAACAGTTTTGACACTTGTGCTTTACAGAAGCATTGAAAAGAATGACAAAAGCAACTGAGTGGTTTGTATCTTACTTTATGCTGAGCAATTTGCTGCTGCAGTTTGGAGGCCTGTGTTCCAATGGGTTCTGCATTTGCAAGCCTCTTCTCTGTGGTGCTCAGCCACTCCACCAGTGGTTCCAGAGCTTCGTGGAACTGCTGCGCTACCACCGAGATGCCTTCCAACTGACGGTTCCTATCAACAAGCCAAGGGAATGGTTATTTCCTGTGATGAAGTAAGTTTGAAACAGTTAAAAAGAAAAAAGTCCCTTGAATCCTTTGCAAAAAAACAGAAATAATTCAGTCTCATTGTGGGAACCAGTCATCAAATGAAACAGAAATATATCCGTGATACTCAATGAAAAGCAAGGTAAAGTAAAAATCAAATAAAATTTAAAAAAAACCCAAACAAACACCTCCAAAGACATTTGAAACTCTTTTAGCCAATATACCAGTTTTGCTAATAAAAATAATATAACTTTATTAATACAGTTTTTGCTACAAATAATCTAGCACTCCATTCAGCAAAACATTGTTTAATACTCAATTAGGATAGTTCTCAAGTTTCTAGCTGTCTTAAAGCATAAAGTTACACTCTCTTGACTATTATGCATGTTTTAAAGTTAGGCAAAGCCTTTACTGAACCAGAACATACTGTCATGCTTCCTCAGCATTGTAAAATATCTTTAAACATTTGTTCAATGATGTGAACAGAACTATTTGGCTCTACTTTTGCATCTCTTGTTCTGGATAAAAGCTCTCAATGAAGTTAGTGAAACAACATTAATAAAGCACAGAGACTTGACCTCCAAAATAGAAAAGCAGTATCTAAAACACTTCTGGTTCATATTACTACATTTCAGAGGAGACTCTTGATTAGAGAAAAGTCTTCTCTACAATCAGTGTTGAACAAATGTCATTCAAGCAGATTTATAGGAGAGATTTGTCCTACATGAAAAACATCACAATATTGTCTTTCAAATGAGGATCTCATTCCAGAAAAAAGCTGTGTTTATATGTGCTTTCCAAGGCTTATAAACAAGGTAGACTTGAGAGACTTAGCCATGAACACTCCGTGAAGTATTCTATGTAGTCTTCAAAATTATCCTCAAATTCCCTCTTCATTTCCAGAGACCAGCCAAAGAAAAATGGAGACAAGCTAATAGACGGCTTCGAAAAAGTTGCAATTTCATTTGTAATTAAATATCACCAGACTGGGAGAATAATATTAAATTAAACATGACATTAACAATTACCCCAGCTAATGAGTCATACTCCTTCAATAAAAAAAAAAAAAGAAAGAAAGAAGGAAATAATGGTCTATTAGTGGTTGACTAATTAAATAATCATATTATTAGTACGAGGTAACAAAACAGGTTCAACTAAAGAGAATGAATAGGAGACAGAAACAAGTTCAGTGCTTCTCTAAGCGCCAACACAACCATTTGTTCTTCACTGTAAAGCTTCACTGTTCACTTTAATTCATTTTTCTCAACTTTCCAAATCCTTTCTTATTCTCAATTATATATCTTTTTCAGGCTACTTCTTATGCACACTCTTCTTCTCTCCACTCTGAACAAGGCTGTCCTTATCAAATCCCCACCCAGAAAACATGCTTAGTAAGCTTTTTAACACAGACTTCTTCAAAGACACTTTACAGTTCATAATTTTACAGGTATTTTATATATTGACAACAACTCATAAATGAAAGTCTTTGTATACACAGATACTACGTGTATCATTTTTGTTTTCTTTTTTTAATAGGAACTTGAATTGGTCTGCAATGTCTTTTAAGACACTGCAGTTTTCTGTGTTGCTAGAATATATCTATATACTTTAATGGTCCTTTTTCTTCTTGAAAACTAAGGGAACCCCAGCACCCTGCATATATCAGCAATTGACAGTATGAGGATCTGTAAGTTGCAGAAACTAATTACGTAGATGACATTAAACAGAAAAAGGGAAGAATTGAGCAGCAAGTCAGGATTCTGAAGTTCCAAGAGTATATCATTATTATTTGTTAAGTGTAAAATTTGCACTTAATTCTACTGCAGAACAGGTTACTGCATCAAGAAACTTGCATTCTAATTAACTGACAGAGATAAAATGTCCAGAAGATATATATCCAGTTAATTCTAGCAGATTGTTGCATCTTAGACTAAACCTTTTTTACAGGCTTTTGGTCTGTTCAAGTCACTTCTGTCCCCTTTTCCCTCATTATATCAACATCAAGACACTATAATGTAATGCAATAACAAGAATGATACTACTTCACACTACAGAGTTCCACATGCTACTCCTAAACATCTATGCTATTTCTACATTTTTCTTATCCATAAAAGAATTTCAAATACCTTGTTTCAGCTTTACTGAGCAATGCATCCCACCGACTATCCAGGAAACTCAACTGCTTCAAGATTTTCACTCTATCAGCAGGCTCTGCTGACTCTGCAATTTTCTCCCCTTCACGCTTGATTGCCTCAACAGTAGGCTTGCGGTCATCCAGCAACCTCTGGAGAAGCTGCAGAGAAAGCAATCAAGCACTAGGGTATTAAGAAACATTGCAATAACGCAAATGTAAAAACAGTAGACTTCCTGAAAATCTGTTAAAGACAAAAACAAACAAACAAACAAACAAACAAAAACTCCAAAAACCAAACAAAATAAACAAAAAAACCAAAACCACAATGCCTATACTGTGATAAAAGCGTGAACAATGCTAATCAAAGAGACACACACACGCCACACACGTCAACCTCTTCCCCTCCCCAACACAGGCTCATTTTAGTTTCTCAATAGTTTTCCTAAGAACAGCAGTTTCACAAAGCCCAATCAATATCCCTGATTTCTCTGGGCTAAATATGTGTGGCAGCCCAAAGAAGGAACATACAGAGGAAAGAGTTCTACTTAATACCATTGAGCGAAACAAGCTATTTAGAGTATCTGTTACATTTTATAGGAACATTTATGAAAAAGCTGCATGCCCTTCTAGATTTGGCATCACAAAGGTAATTCTGACACATAGAGAGAGAGGAAAACAGATATAAAAACTACTGTATAATCAACTCATCACTTGTTTGAGGTACAATTGAGTTCACTGATCTAGTATGGTAAATCAACTCCTCCATGAAGAATAACAGATTGCTGTCTACAATTCTCCCTTCCTCCATTCTGTACTTGTCTTTGGTAACACCAACATTTTGCATCTGCAGATATCCCAACACGACAACCTGTACTGACCATAACTTTATATTAAACCTGTGGGTGGTAGTGGACCACACAGTCCAACTGCATGAACTGTATGTTTTATCAGCTACATTAGCATTCTTTTTTCTATAACCATTATTAAAAGTTGCCAAAGTTGATGACAACGATAGTGCTTATACATTAGCAGAGGCCATTTCCCAACCGTGTTTCAACTAATTACCAACAATGATCACATCAGGATCAAGAGCCAAGTATTTAAGTCTGTAATCTGCAACATCATCTTGGAAGTATTACAATGAAAATTTACAGTTTTTATTTCCTACTTTTCAAATGGCCAAATGCTGGATTTTACGCTTGCTCTTTTTCCAATGGACCTTTAACAATCCTTTCCAGATAATGCTAATAATTCTAACCAGACCTCAGATTGCACAGCATTACTCTTTATCTTATGTCCCAGAAGATGAGCACTTCTCCCAGCACTGGACAGTCTTCAATTTTGAACAGATGGCTCCTTTAAAAACCTCAGCACACTCCAGTGTATTAGAATACGCTTGAACAAATATTATGCTTTGTCAAATACTGGGAATTTATTCTCATTGATCCAGTGGAAGGAGAGATATTCTGAAACCATTTCACTTACTTTCTGTTCTTGTATTTGGGCCTTCACAACTTTGAATTCAGCAGATGGTGGTTTCTGATTAGCCACAAGATCTTCTGTATCAATGAGCCAGCTAAGCAGAGATTCAAGGGCATCCTGAAATCTCCCACAGTGGAGGAGGGCTTCCTGCAATTGTGCAGCACGCTGGGCAACCTAAAAAAAAGTAGAGGATCTCACCTTTTCTTTTTATTGCTATGAAATAATTAGCCAAAATCTGTAGAACATCTGTCAGTATCACTAACAAATACTCTCATTTCTGTAACTGTTCATAACAACACTATGCCACAATTTAGCATTAATCTCCTGAGTCTGCAGACATCCAATGAAAAGAAGAGGTTATCTCCAAGTAAATCAGCCTGCTCTAGTAATTCCTTACAAGATAGTCCTGTTTTATACAGCTACAGTATTATGAAGTATACTGACAGGATGTTTGTGTTTCAGATGGTCTCTATTTTCCTTATAGAAAGAGCAAGCCAGGAATCCAAAGTAGCAACTCTTAATAAGGAATAATAATGCCATCAGTGGGAAGAAAAAAAAGGAAAAGAGAAGGCAAATAGGTGAACCACAGGTATCTGTGGTTCTGCTGCATCACTCCTTCAGGAAGAGAGAGCAGAGCAAGATGAGCACCATTTCTACTTCCCACTGTTCTCATTTTCCAACAGCAGCTACTGCTGGAAGAAAACTCCTGAAAAGTACAGAAAAACATCTACAGCCAGTTTCCCAAAGCAGAGGTACCTTCTGATGTCTCAAGCAATAAAATCCTTAGGGTGCTATAAACAAGCCACCAGTCACACAACGCTGGGCTGTATCAGTGCTCTGTGCACTGTGTAGGTACAACAGTGTACCTGAGCATACACAACAGAGTCAAAAAACATGAACAAAGACTGAAAGTTGGACTAGATGATCTCCAGGGGTCCCTTCCAACCTCAACCATTCTGTGATTCTGTGAGTCTTTCCTGAATAAAAATCCAGGACAGATCTATAGAAAGTTTGACAAAACCTTATAAATGACAGCAATACCTCTGGCTACTAGTGATACCTTATCCTTAGAACTATGAACACAGTGATTGTGGAAAGTAAATATAATTCATATCCTTCATGAATATTTAATTTCCTGTATTTTAAAAGACGTCAGCAAGCAAAGAATCAAATGGCAGAACACAACACAAGCAGAATAGTATTCAAAATAATAACCTTCTTATTAAGAGTCTTCCACCGGGTGTTGACATCTTCAAGGTCATGTTCAAGGTTTTCTGTGTTGGTACTTTTAGCAGCACTCTGAATAAGGCCTTGGCCCAACCAATTTACCTCTTGTTGTTTTACTTGCAAGGGTTCAATTTCTTCTTTCTGGAATACCTGCAGTTGAAATCCAAGACAGACAAGAAACATGATATCTTCTGACATAAAATGCACCTAGTGTTTACATGACAGTATGCAATAAAAAAAATCTTAAAATCGTTGTCTAGAAGAAAGTAAGCCATTCCTCATGAGGACCTTCCTAAAAATATTAATAAATCTAAACAGAATAGACTTAATCTAAACAGAGTAAATTAAATACACCATAGAGGGGAAAATGGCATACACTTTCATTAGTAATTTTAGATAGAAGGGAAAGGGACAGAGAAAAAGAGGGGCAGTGGAAGTTTTGGGGGGTAAAAAACCAGCACAGACCAAGAGAGACAATTGGGCATTTTTTCCAAATTAAAACAGAAGCCAAAGTTTAAGTCAAAGAGCAGTGAAGAAAGAGATATTTTAAGGTCGGGTTTAGGAGATTATAATGGTAACAAGTGAGGAGGAGGCACTACAGATGCTGTTGAACCAGTATCACAGCAGACACCCCAGGAAAATGGTTTTTCATTCAAAGGATACTCTTGCAAATTGCCAGGGCTTTGACCATGCCCAACAGCAGTTTGAGCAGTTTTCTGTTTTCTTTATTTTACTCTTGCAGGTATTTAAGCTTTTTTAGAGCCAGATTATTATAATTAGCAACAGCAGTGTAAATCTCCATTTGTATTCACCAGCATTAAGCTGCACTGACACAAGCGTCAATGAGATCAGAAAATGGCCTGAAGCCCCTGAATTAATTACACAGGCCACTGAAAAATAACCAATGAATAAACAATGCTAAAGAATGCTCAACTTTTGACCCTAAATCCTTCAGTTTCTATAGCAGCATTCATTAACAGTTTTAGTGTACACTTAGTGCATTCAAAGCAACCTTTCTTAGCATCCTGAAAAGCAGGGATCACTCTGAAAGTACCAGCAACTCTCCTCTTTTGCACCAAACACAGTGTGGCAAGTGACTGCTTTTAAAGCTGCAGACCTCAGGTGCCTGAGCACACTTCCACCAGCTTGACAAGTCAATCTAGAGGCTACACCAAATACCCTAAACATGAGGGGTAAAACAATTAAGGACCCCTAACAATTTTGTCCTAAAAAAAAGAAAAAAAACACCCCCCCCCAACAAACAACCCCCAACAAAACAACAACCACCCCCACCCCCCCCAAAAACTCTAAGACTGTGGTTACATGAATATTGAGAGTATGGAATGAGTTGGCTGCTCCTAGAAAAAGGAAAACGATTGTGTTTTTCTTGACTGTAGGGTAGGGAGGAGGTAGAATAATATTTCCATACAGAATAAATAACAAATTCTTCTTTTATGTGCCATAAAGCCTCATCTTTTGAGAGAAACATCCTACCACAGAGAGGACCGATCTCCATAATCTGCCCTTTAAAAATGCACACATTCTTTGTGGAGAGAAGCTTAAAATAAATTACAATTATTGTTGAGGCCAAAGTTTACCAGAACAATTTAGCAACAAAGCTTGAAGTATCTCAGATTTCAACCAGAATGGGGAGAAAAAGATTACAGACCCGACAAACACCCTTTCCTTATTACAAAGTTTCACTTACTCTCTTACCTCATCCACCACTCACAAAGCACTGCAAGATTCAGTGCTTGTAAAATACTACCGTAGAGTCAGATTTGCTTTCTGGCACGCAAATGCAAAAGGCAGCTCTCAGAAGAGGCGGTGAACCTTTAATCTGACTGCTTTGGAAACCACAACTATCTGATACTGTTGCTTGTACCTTGATGAGTAAGGCTGTTCAAGCTGAACACAAGGGCTGTAGCTGCCCTTGAATGGCATTGCCTGTAGCCACGCTCTGTACAGACACCGAGCATGGAGGAGGCACTCCAGTCAGGAGTAACAAGCACCAGCTGGACAATAAATAATCCTGCTCAAAACAACTGGAGTAAGCACCCCTCTCAGAATTTGCCCCCAGTTCATTTTCCATACTGACCATTCCACCTGTTTTGGACACCCCATGTGTGCTATGCAAATGACACTGATTACTGCATCTGCTTAAATAATAACAATCATAATAATAAAGTTACAGTTTTGCAACAACAACAAAACAAAGTTTTAAACAAATATCTGTAAGGTTATATTACAACTATTTCACAAATCTGTGGATTTTTTTTTTATTACCTTATTGGACAAGAGGCCATTGCAGACTCTATCCAAGGTATCTTGAATACCAGTAGTCCAGATATTGCCATTTCCCCCTGGAAAAGTTTTTGGGCAGTTTACAGTACTATCTAATTCAAGCTGTTGTACAGAAAATGCCATTTCATTTGATCCTGTATGTGCTACACTGAATTCCTCCGTTTCAGATAAAATTTCATATTTTGCAAAATCCAAGTCAGTAGTGTTTACAGCAGCATTCATATAATAAACATCTACATGAGGAGGTGCATCATCCACACAATCCTCCTCTACTGTTGTGACTTGCATTTTAGTTTTTTCATTAACTTCATATGCATTTTCCATTTCATTTTTGCCAAGGCTAATACCTCTTCCATCACTTCGAAGAGGATCTTCATGTGACAGAGGTTTCTCTTTGAAACCTTGTAAGTGAGAGTATTTCCCCCCCATCTCTTCCTGATCACTCTCACATGTCTGTGCATTGCTTTGTTTTACTTTTCCAGAGGGTAAAACGTCATGCAAAGCCAATCTGCAGCTTTCTTTGACAGCGACATTCGTGCTTGCATGCAGTGGGGTTTGCTGCTCTCTGCAAATTGCTGGGATATGTGGTTTGAACTGACCTACTGCATGGATATCTTCTGCAGAAGATAGACACTGTATTTGAGTTTGATCCCCTGCTAAGAGTGTATCTTGTTTATCTTCTCTTTCTGTTGGAGGGCTGCATAAACCAGAATCATCCTCTTCCGAGGTAAGAGAATTCGTACCCCATTTGCATTTGCCCAGTCTAGCTGCCTCTGACATATCAGCAGTTTCGTTAAAGGAGCTTTCACTTTTATTAGTGTAATCTGAAAAGTTGGGTGGAACAAGCATTCTCCACGATCGTCTGTGCTCCTTCTTTTCTGTGTGAGACTTCACTTTGGGTAATCCAGCTGTCCGAATTATATCACTGTTCAGTTTAAGAGCATCAAAGATCATCTTTTCATCTAACTTGTTAGCTTCACGGCTTCGGAGCTCAAAAACACTGGAAGAAGTAAGGACACCATTGGAGCACAAAGTGCTGATGTCCAGTGTTCTGTGACTGTAGGGTAAAGTCCGGTCTGTGAAATGCCTCGAAGAGAGGCTGCCCTTGGAGCCCGAGTCAATCTGTTCATTCAACCGCACAGTGTCATAGATAGACCTCTGGGGAACGTAGCAGTCCTCAATATTTAGATCTTCATCTTCTTCCCCTTTGCCAACACATGGAGGATTCTGGCGTAGACAGTCTGGCCTGCTAAGTGGCTTCCCCATCTCCAAAGTATTCACACAAGTACACCACTATACCTCTGTTTTCATGGACTCAGGAGAAACATTTAAAAAACACTAGCAGTCTGAAGGAATAGTAAACTTGCCCTTAGCATAAGATGCATAGACACAAAATATACATCATAAGATATGAGGTGGCTGAGGTCATTCATAATCAGTGCATCCGTTTAAATGTGACTTTACCTGGATGTGAGGTTCCACACCCCCCAAAATATAAAGTGCTTCAGTTAGAAAGTAACAGAAATTTTCCAATGTCACAGAAAAACAAATTATAGCAAAAACCAGCAGTAGCCAAATATTTTAAACATTCAGTGGAAGTCTTCATCTATTTTTCCAGGTCAGCATCTGTATCTAAAATCTCCCAAATAAGCCTTCCAAATGAACAGGCATTACAGAAGGCAGTACATTATCTTCTGTAGATGACTGCTTAACTGTAATCCATTTAACTGGTTTGCAGGGTCCCATCTCCTTTATAAATAAAACATGGTGTAGCAACTTGTAAAGACAGAATCCACAGTGGCTTGTATAGTCCTGACCAAGGCACGGAGAAAATCTTGGGGTGCGGGGCGTGGAAATAAGTTAAATCCAGAACAGTAAGAATAATAAACCAGTCCTTTACTTTTTTGGCAGTAGCTATAAATAACCTTGATCTGAAAGGCAGCTTATCCTCCTCTTGTACCAGGCTTGTCCGCGGTGCCTCCACAAGTCTCAGAAGAAAACATCACTTTCCAGCAGCCAAGCCGATGCGTCCTTTGAGCAGACCGTCGGAAAATGAATGTTTCAGACCGATTCTCCCATCCTGGAGAGCTCTTTAAGGCAGCTGCAGAGCAGAGCAAGCGCGGCGCGTCCCCCGAAGGCACGGCAGGTTTACATTCGTCAGGTCCCGACTACAAGCTGCAGCTAGCGGGCTGCCCTCGCTCCCTCCTCCTCATTTCTGAAGCGCAGCTGCGAGGAAGCAGGCGAGGGAGGGAAACCCCCGTCGCGGAGCGCTGGCGCGTCCCGCCCGCCCAG